CGTTAGATTAGCAAAGCATGGGCTACCAACCATAGCTGTTCGTATTGTCTGCAAGTACATGCTTAGCCGTTTTGACATTCAGTTCTGCCCAGCCATTGCTTTGTGGGTAGTATGGTGACAAAGTACACCAATTCTACAATTCTTAAGGAACAAGTCATATTCTTGGAAATCAAAAGGTGATTCCTCCATTGGAAGAAAGTTCTTCAGGTGCACCATATATACAGGACCAAGTTCTCAGGGTGTCCTATACTGCTCTGGCCTTCCCAGATGACATTAGAGTTACTTCCATCCAACCAGTGTACCAATCTGCATATATAACATAATTTCAACCATTTAAGTCAAAAAATGTCAATCACAGTTTGTTGGAATGGGAATTCAGGGTTAGACAGTGACATCAAGGGCTCTTTAGGTTGTGACAGGATAATAGAGTTACATATCTGGCATTGGGCTTTGGTCTGTCAGACGCTGGCAAACAAACCCAGCCAAAATGGGCGTTGTCTCACATTTGCTAGCATGCCATTTACACCCTGGTCTTGGGAATGTAGGGATTAATGTACTCATGCAAAAGTTGTTGTATAAGGATTTTATTCTTCTTGATTGGTTCGATGCAGTACAATTCCTTCGACATGGGCCAAAACCAAGAGGTCATAAAACCAGTTCGTTTATATTCTGTCAGAGTGGTTCATTCTTAATCAGTGGTTGCTCAGCAATGATCCTATCCCAATGATAACCCTTAATCTAGGGTCATGCTCATATGTGAACATGAATGCAGCCCTGATGATATTTTGGGATGATGTGTCGATTATAGAATTGACCATCTACACTTTTTGATCCATATTGGATGATACTTGGATGTTCTGTCATCAGTCATGCTGGGTACAGCATTAAGTTTTCAGGGAGATGTTTAATACTGAATTTGTACATTAGGGTGCATTCCTTGAAATTAAAGAGATGTGCATTTTTTACATTCTTGAAGGCCTTTGATGAGAAAATTTTTATGAGTTGTTGATGGTCAACAGTCACTAACAAATCTGGACATCTGAATATAAAAATCTGACATGATTCTAGCCCATAGACAAGTGCCAGAGCATCACATTCAACTGGTGCATAGTGGGATTCTGTGTAGATGGTAAAGTGAGATCCAGCCAAAATAATTTTCCAGTGACCATCACTGCAATTTGGGCTCATTTCGCCATGGTAGTTGCAGTGTTTTTGAAAAAGAAAGTAATTGATTCCTATTTTACTGTAAGCTCTTGAAAGGAATGTCATTCTGTTGATCTTGAATGTCTTGACTCCGTCCTCAATTTTCTGTACAATTACTTGTTTTGACTCCTCAAAAAGTTGGTCAAGCATTTCGCCCCAATAAAAGTTTTGGTTCTTCAAGCATAATAATTCCCAGAAGAGGGCCATCACCTCAGCTTTTGAGAATGCATAAGATACCTGATTCACCAGTCCAAACCAGGACCCATGATATTTGTGAAAAATAGAAAAATGAAGGAAGGCCTCAGTCATTTTCTTCGATGGTTTTACACCATTGGCCATTATTAAGAACCCAGAAAACTCCACCTCATTCTCTACAAAATGAAATTTGTCACAGTTAAACACAACCCCATTCTTCCCACAGTGGGTTATATATTCCATTGTGTGCCAGAACAAGTACTCTATGGAATCATCCCAGAGGCTATTGTCTATGCAATGGGTTTTTCGAACCATGCCCACTGTAATATTGTTAAACCGATAAGTATATCCATCTCCAGACACATGAAATTCCTGTAGAGCCTGAAGATACCTGTACAGGCCTAATTCAGTGATAAATGTAGAGGCATCTTGTGTGACTGTGGAAAGTGGTAAGCTGTAGTACCCATTTCATGTGTCCAGAACTGTTTTCCTTGTCTGAGCAGGAATGATAGAGTCATGATTAAATGGAGATGGTGTGTGATGGGTTTTCCTCATGGCGGCAGTGTTCAATTCTTGTAAGTCTACCATGTGTCTCAGGGAGCCATCTTTTTTGGGAGCAACTACCATCCTTGAGCACTAGGTTGTAGGAGAGCCTACTGGCATCCGTTCAATTATACCCAATGTGATGTTTCAATCATAGTCTTGTTTCATCCTCTTCTTCTAATGGTAAGGGACAGGGATCAGTGTGTGGACCACTGATGACCTCACATCATGGACTAAAGCAATGTTCAATGGTTTTCCTGTCATCTTAGTCTAAAACGGTTTGTGTGGACATGTGTTATGTACATTTATATATTGGATCACATTTCCATCATTCCAGTAGATGCCTTCAACAAAACTTCACAGGATGGTAAAATTACCTTGCTGGAATAGGTTTTCTGCATGGGCAAACACAGGGTTTTTTTTGTGTCCTTCAATTTGAAAACATGATTAAGGGCATCAGGTAATGAAGATATAGGTTCAACTCATATTCTGATAAGTTAAACCCAGATGTTATAAAACCCAGGTTGTTTCTTATATCTGTACAACATTCCCTTTATATATTGGGTTTGGATTTCCATGTATTTTTCAACCAATTTCAACAAAACTTCACTTTTTTTTTTTGTCAGGTAGTTTTTCTTATTCTCTGGTCTACTTTTTTCTTTATTTCTACATTTGAATCCTTAAAATTCTATTTACAAGACAATTGTTTATTGGAAAATTCTATTCAATCCAAATAGATCATGGGTTTGAAAACAATATTTTCCCTTGAGTTTGATGGTTTGATCAATTCGTGGTTCAAAAAAAAAAAAATAATCCATGCAAGATGAGGTCCGTCAGCACCAGGTGGTATCTTTGTCAATTTTATTTTTCAGTCTTTATAATCTGTCAGTAAAGCAGATCTATCTCTTACTGTTACATCCCCCGGGCAACTTTCAGACTAGTGTTTCACTAAGGGAATGAATCACGCATGTATTGAATGTTTGTGGTTCTGATTTCAATTTTAGTATATTTCTCATTCCAGTTTTGTCTGTTGGTTTCCATCAGAAAGAACATAATGTGTTTTCTTGTGGGCACTCTCTCCTACTAATTGATCCACCTTTGTGGAATATCTTCCCACAATTTAGATGTCTATTGGTGAAGAAGTTGCAATAGATTTCTTGCACATCCTTCAGGAGGCAAATTCTTCTAAGTAAAACCAGATGTGTTATTTGAGTTCTGTACCATTTTGTCTCCAGTCCATCTTATATGCAAATTTGATGCCCTTTTTATGATTCTCCAGTTCGTCTTGATTGGGAAACATAAAAATTTTATAAAAATTTTATGATTTCAGTTAGTCATAAAATTTTTTTCTTTGTCCACAATCCTGTGGTCCCTACCTTCCAGAACACAAGTGGATGGAGCCAGTCTGGGCTCATATCCAAATGAAGCAGGAAGTTTGGGAAAAGTATTGTCAGTGAGAGTAAGTGGATCTGGTTACCTCTTTCAAATTGAGCTTCCATTCCATGACAAAATGAGGTATGAGGAGTCAGTGGTCAAACCAGCCTTAGGCCAGTTTTGAGTTAAGGAGATAGCAGTTCAGTTTCAGAAAAGATGACTGAGAAAGTGAGAAATCATCCTGTTGTGAACTCTTGTTGATTTGTCGTCCCTAACATTTTTTGTTTAAGCGATTTCTGGAGAAGAACCTTTTTACAAATAGTTAATTGGGTTTATTATGACAATACACTCAAGCTGCTGGATGTTATCCTACTAATTGAACAATGGGCAATCGGAGAATGTTGTCCTGCAACCCACACACAATTATTCAAATTCATCAAAGAACAGTGCATTATTTCTTCAGGGTTGTTGAAGCATCATGGTGCTTGTAGCCAAATATCTATAGGTAGGATGAGGTTGACAGGCTAACATCATTTAGCAACCATACAGCTGACTCATCACTCCAAGCTAATGAGTCCTTCGAACTTTTGCTCAAGTATAGTGAGGTTGGAAGCCAGGCCAAAACTGGTGTTCCTTGTTGGAGAATCCTGCAATCATCTGCCCAGCTATCATGTTGCACAAATAGTTGACTTGTTAACAGCAGCCTTCTATGTTGGGACAATCAACTGTGAATGAACAAAATTTGGCTTGAGCCTTGCTAAAAAAATGAGTGATTGATTCACCTTCTGCCTGGCATGGGGAATGAAACATCTGCCAGTGAACTCCCTTGTGCAAGCCCTTTACCACAATAAATTGGATGTGTGATAAAAGCCTTTCCTCTATAACCAATTTTAAGATTTCAGCCCCTATAAGGTCAAAAAGGAGCCTGTTGACTGTGGGTGAGCATGTCATTCTCAATTTGTTGCATATTTCAACTAGGTTGGTAAGTTTACACATCTCCTTATACTGAGTTCATGCATCAAGGAATAATGCCCAGTTGTTGTCTGTTGCATTGGGTTCAATGACAAGTCGGTCTGTTTTTTTTTTGCATTAGATGTTTGCATCACATTAGGGATCCCATCCCTCCAAAGTACAATAGTTTCTCTTTGTGGTACTATCATTTGTTGCAAGAATTGAGCAATTAAATCAAAGGTTCTGCCTGGTGCAGATGCCATGTCTTATTTTGTTAAGATGGTTCCACATATTCACCAGATCCTGTCAGAGTGCCATGTAAAATAACCACAGCAGCAATGGTAGTAGTAATTCTCAACTACTTTATTCTTGTCGCAATGAGATACAAATACAAAAAATATATCTGGCCCCCAGCCACTCTGTTTACATAACACTGGACAAGGCAATTTATGTCTGCCTGCAAAAGTCCCCCATTATCTAATGAGACCTTCCATTTCTACTCTAAAAACTTAATCCGGTATAAGGCTACAACAGTGAGTACCAGAGAGATTGTACTTCTTACATTAAAAAATTGGTCTTTGAGACAAGCTTGCTCACAGCTGTGCTATATTTTCAAAGTTGAAAGAAACAGAAGAAAATTAAAAAAAATTAATGTTCAATTATGAGACAAATTTTAATAAAAGCAGAAAAATGAAGTAGAAGATGAACATAAAGTGTACATAAAAAGAATTTACCTTCTTTAAATTCCATTTTTAAAAGGTTAATCAAGAATTCAATTGGATTTTCAGGTTGTTTAATGAGAAGCTGCTCTTGTAAGAACTGAAGTTAAAAGAAAAGAGAATCTATCATTGAAAAAACTTTCAAAGGATATGATTTAAAGCTTTGAAATCAGAAGAATTTCATTTCATGGAACATAAAAATAGACAACAGGATAACTTGTCTAACAGTCTTAATGTTAATAGTATATGATGTTATGGACCTGACTGTCATTAGCACACCCAAAAAGTCAAATTGGCCCTAAATGATTTTATCAGAGTCCAGCAGTAAAATCTACAAAGCATGATCTTTGCAGCAGCAACCCACTGACCAAAAGGAAATAAATTAATGTATTGCAGACACCATTACAATTATACAGAATATGGGTCCAGTTCAAACAACAGGCAACAACAAAAAACATATAAAATTAAAATAACATATCAAATATATATATATATATATATATAATTAAAGATATTTATTCAAATGGTACATATATGTCTGTTGACATTTTCATGTTGTTGATGGTCAGAAGAGACCTTGGCACATTTTCACTGCTCCAGAGTCAGTCATCAAAGGAGAGTTTCTTAATTGTCTGCCAAGGTAGAAAAACAAGACAGGGCTGTCATTGGCTCATCTATTGACCAATCAGAGGATTCACCAGCCTAAAGGAAAATATCACCCATCTATTGCAATCTATTGCATCTATAGGTAGATGTCTCAAGTGTCATCTACCTATCTCCAGTCAGTGTAAGTTAATCTCTAAATAACTAAATATATGTGAAACAGGGTCATATTTTTATTTTCCCCATAGTTTTATTTCACCTTGCATTTTTCTTTTGAATTTACTCTGGATCTTTCCCAGTTTTTATGCACACCAATGCAAATGAGAATCAAGACACAACATAGGGTAATTTGTCTAGTTGGTGAAAGACTGATAGAGGGCCCTGTTGTATGCTTACAAGGATAAGTTTTCAGAAGAACTACAAAGAAACTATTGATAATGATGAAAAAGATAAAGTCATAATTTTAAAGCCGCATAATGATCAAGTCCTACCAAGATTTATCATCAACAAACTTAACCTTAGAAAAGCAAAAATGAAAGACCTATTAGATAAAATATTCAAGAAAAACAAGAAATAAGGAGTCATCATTTATTGTAAGAAGATGGAATGCATGATGCCAAACAAAGAGACTATCTAAGATGGGAGTTAGACATTAAGAACATTAGCATGAAACAAGTGCAAAAATACAACTATCTGGGAAGTGTAATAACAGATAATGGAAAGCATGACAGAGAGATTTGACTGAACATAAAAATAGTGAAATATACTTTTCAGAAACTGAAGATATTAGGGGATCTAAAAATAATGATAGGTTTGGCAAATATATGTTGGCAGCCTCAGTAATATCTGCTATCAATATTTAACCAAACATCTAAAATAAAAAATAAAGACAGCTAGAGAGAAGATGGAAATATATAAATTAAGATTTTATTTTCTAGAAATGCAAATAAAGTGTAGAAATGTGTTATATGCCTTTTCTCCAACCTTAAAAATTAAAGCTAGTGGATTTTACAAAAATTACCTTTACTCATGAATCCAGCACGAGTTGCAAAAGGCTGGGTTTCACCCACATATCAATAAAGCATCTTCTTGCAGCATCTATCCCAAAATTGTCCTCTGTACAGAGCAGGCTTCACTTACTGGCTGTTAAGGGTTACAGGGTTACATGACTGGAAAAGCACAGTGCATCCTAATTTGGGAAGAGTTAGCAAAGTTAACCTAACAATAACATTAAAAATGAAGAAAAGAGTATTGGACTGCTATGTGATATCTTCCCTCCTATGTGGTAGTGAAAGATAGACAATTTCATCACAAATAAAATAAATAACAATTGAAGCAAGCAACAAGTAGTTTTACTGACAAACAGTGAAAATACTATGGACAGAATATGTGTTGAATTGGAACTACTAAGAAATTGTTACTAACAATCAGAAAGAGACATCTGAAATTTTTATAACTCATAATGAGGAAAAGCTTGTAGAATTTAATACTCACATGACACATCGAAGGTAAAAAAGCAAAAGAAAGAAGTCAGTAACCTACTTAACAAATTTGTGCAAATGAATGGAAGAACAAGTACCATAAATAGAAAGAAGGACTACAAAGGAGAATATTGCTGAGAGCCACAATCATGGTTCTCCACAGCTTCTTCAAAAACAGGAAGTTGTGAAGAAGAATGTTTGCATGCATCATGAATGGAAATAATATATATATATATAGATTTTGGGAAAGAGTATGTATGGCCTGGCTCATGAAACATACTGTGTTTCATAGAATCTCTGTGACAATATTAATGTAGTTTAATAATAGACTTATTCCTTGGCTTATAAAGAAAATAATTCACAGTATTCACAAGAATATTTATAGTTTTTGTGTACAATTAAATTTAATTTAGTTTTTCGTTGTTTATTTTTGTACATGTTCATTATATCGTGTGTGCAAAAAAATATTAAATTTGAAGGAAAATTGATTCTCATCTCACCATATTTACTGAATCTGGAGATAAAAAAGACTTTATTTATTTAGATACCACTAATTACCCTGTTTTAAAATCACAAACAAAATTTTCAGTACCAATGAATTGTTTGAATGTGTTATTTTATTAGAAAACTTTGTGAATATATCTTGGTGAGGTCTGTTTCAGCCCATCATTTTCCATATCTCGTGTGGACTTTTTTTATTTTGAAGAAGCTGTTTGTGAATTTTTTTACAATTGTTTAATTGTTTAACTTAAAGAAAAATCCATGTAGATGTTATTTTATTAAATAAATTTAATACAATATAAGTGTGAACATAGTGAAAAGTGAACATTTGTTCTAAATCTTACCAATAATAATTCAATAAAACTGAAAAGGTAAATTTTTCTGACAGTTTCTGACATTATTACTGTCTTCCGTGGAATGCCCTCAATGCCATTTACCTTGCTTGTTGCAGGCTGAACAGAAAATATGTTGTTGCAGAAATTATGTCTCCCGTCCTACCAGCCTGAATGGTCCTAACCGCTGGAAAACAGAAAAAATACATTTTTGGAGAAGTCCCGCTTGCCTACATGGAAAGTGCTACTTTTTGTAACCCATTTCCTTGATTGAAGCTAGAGAGTCACAGGATTATGTTTGAAAACTTGGACATTGGAAAACACACTTCAGTCAAATGGCACTCCTTCTGCAGTGAGGTGTGCCAATTTTGGCTAGAACATCTGCAGGAAAAGTTGGGTGAACCAGGTGTTGAGGTAGAAATTGATGAGACCATTATCTCCAAACGCAAATATAATTGGGGACGTAGATTGAAAACGGTCTGGCTTTTTGGCAGAATTGAAAGAGTTTCAAAGAAGATGTTTTTGGTTCCATTTAACAGCAGATTACAGGGAAGGAGAATCCAGGGATGCAAATACAATTATTCCACTAATAATGCAACCAGGATCTATTATTTACAGTGACTGCTGTCTAGATCATGGATACATGCACATCAGATTAATCATAGCGAACATTTTGAATATCCAAACCCAAACAGTGGAAAGTCTGTGGAAGACTATCAAGGATATTGTCACCTGACCTGGACACAAAACTGTTTTCTTAAAGCAATATATTGCTCGTTTCTTGTTCTTGAAAGCAATCCCTCCCCATACTCAGCGCCTTCACAGGTTCCTGACAGAGGTGAGCAAGATGTACCCAAGACTCAAATAAAATTGTAAAATTGCTATTTTGTAAATAATAATGCTTATATATATATATATATATATATATATATATATATATATATATATATATATATAATTTGTATATATTCATGTTTTTAAAACTCCAAAATTTAATTAAAATATATATATTTGAAACTTAAATTTGTTCTTGTTATTATTTTCTTTTTAGCATTTTTTATTTTCCAATTTTATTTTGTAAATAATCATGCTCTTTACAAAGTTTGCGCATTAATTATTATTTCTTTTACTTTTATTTTTAATTTTAAAGAAAAGCTTTATTGTATTTATTCAATTTGTTCTTTTTTAATTTTCTACACAGGAAAAAAGGGTTTATTGTATATTTTTAATTTTTTTATTATTTATTATACCTGTTCAACACAAAATAAAAGGGTTTGGTTTACTATAAAAAAAAAAAACACTTGTCAACTTGACAATGCTTTTCGAGCCAAACTTAAGTGCGCAGTAATTTAAACGAGTAAGGTCAGAAAAAGCAGTAAATAGGCCGTTAATTAATCTTCCGCGTGCAAAATGTTCCACAGTAAATGTAGTTAAACAAAGCCACGAATGGCGGACGGATGAACACAACTGAGTCCAAATGTTTATTGTCGATAACACCAAAACGGTAGATTTTATCAAAATTTATTTATTATTTTCGAGTTCAGCATGTAAATTTACACGGAAATATAATGATTTTGAAAATTTTTAATAAATATTTAGCGCGGGGCTTAAAAATCAAATTACACAAAAAATCCAGTTAAAAAAAAATTAATCCTTAAATTTACTAAGTGAGTCCAAAATATATCTCTAGCATAAATATTAGATTTTTAAGAGATTTTTCTTTTTTTTTTTTTTGTTGTTTACTTTTTTTTCGTCTACAATGGTGGATCTAGGCCGATACTAAGCATAGTATGCCGGACTCCGGTACTAAAGCTAATAAACAAGGGAAATTAGACGAAAAATATTGTTACTCCATTCTTTAGGAAGTGACAAGAGAAAAGAACGTGCCAACTTTATTTATATACGGAAATTCATTTTTCTTTTAATTCGGATTAGCGCTTTTACATGCAAATTTGTCTGTCAAATTAAAACCCCCAAAAGTTCAAAGAAGGCCTTTAAAATGAGTTTTTCATTGTTTTTTTTGGGGGGGGGTTAGAATGTTTGTGGCGATACCGACTATTTATCTGCACATCCACTGAAATAAAGACTAAAGTGATAATTCTACGTATAAATGGGATTAGCAAAATAAAATAAAATGTGTATCAGAAACTGATCTTGGTTCCTTATGCAACGGAAAAGGTGCTGCCTTGGAGTCCCGGAATCGAGCATCATACTTATTTTTACTCTGGAAATGTATTTTTCCGCATGTCAGACTCAAGTGGGATGTAACACAAGTTTGAATTAAATGGGTTGTTCTGTGGACAAGGGACAAAATTTGTTCAAGTCCCGTCAGTACTTTTCTTTGGGTGAGGGGGTACTTCAGACGCCAGCTAATGACCCAGAGCCCACTCCAGGAGAGGCTTGAGCACGTTAGGAAAATTTCGTTGAAAACAAAGAAAAAGGAGTACTGAACTTTTACGTAATTGAGTCTTCTTATATGGCAGATGAAGAAGAGATGAAGCAATCTGCAATAGAAATGTGGTTCTACAGAAGGACGCTGAGAATACCATAGACCGAACACATGACTATGAACGACGAAGTTTTAATGGAAACAAAAAGGTCACTTACTTAATATCAGGAAGATAGTTGACATTTCTAGAGCACATAAAAGAGGGCTTTGAAAATTTGATACTCACAGGACAGATTGCCGTTGTTTTCTTCTGTCTCTCTTGCCTTCAGTCACTGAAGGCAAGAGAGAGGTGGGGGAAACAACGCATAACTTACCTAGTGAGCTTGATGGGTGGCGAAACAATGTTTAGAGAACTAGGAGAGAGAACAAAAAGACAAAATTTATTAAGAACTACAAAAGACAGGAAATTATGGAGAGCCATAATCGCTAATGTCAGGAAGGAATACTGCACATACAAGGAGAAAAAGGAGAATAATAATAAGGTGGCGGCAGTCTATAAGTGAAAAACAAGTAAAATCAGACAGTAACTAACAAAAAGCAAAGGATAGATAGTCTGTTTTTGGCTATAACGTTCTGTGAAGGACAGGAAGTAATAGTAATTTTGCAGCAATAGTAGAGGAGGTTGATTATAATAAATAGTCATACATAAATTAATAAATGGAGGGTCCTAATGAGTTCCGGGTGGGGTTGAAAAATTAATAAGAGAACTGTGGGTCGAGTGTAGCTCACTTTCAAGTCGATTCTTCTTCTTTTCTTTTCTCTTACCAACAACCACAGATTGAAATAACTCACATATTAATTACCCTAGAAAATAAACAAATCATAATCTGCCTTCAATTTAATCGTTTACTTGCCTTAAACATGTCAAATAACTTGTGTGTTTCTGCATAATTAGCAAAATCAGGTGGTAGCGACATCGGCCGTTTCGTAGCATCCATTTTGTCTTCGCTGTTACGTTGTTATGGACAATGCGTACGTACAGTTGCTATGGAAACAAGACGCTCCCGTTGTCTGCTCGTTGTTATAAGCTAAGTAAAAACTTAAGCATACAAAGGTGAAATTAGACGAATATTATTGTTTCGCCAATCTTTAAGAAGGCCTGCCTCTCTGTATAGAAAAATCAGTATTTGAAATCCTAACCTCTGGAAAATATGCAACTATTTTAATCACAGTGACTGTGATGTAGAACAGTGCATTATCACAGAACTGTTCTATTTTTTTGGCATTGTACCTGACCAAACTAATAAAATTTAGGGCACCTCATCGGGAAGCAATGCTAAATTTATCGACAATTACTAGTACTGGCTAAGTGGGTGCACCCAACTTAGGAGTAAGTTAATTTCAAGGAGATGCTCGCAGAGTTGGTTTGGTTAGAAAGTCCATATTGCAAACCATAATGAATGAGTCCAATATTCTTTTATTAAATGTCTAGTAACACAGTTTTGTGCCAGACTAAGTTTTAGCCTAAACTATGGCATAATATTACTAAAATCTAACCAAACTAACATATAAAACTTTTAGTATAAAAGTATATCTTTTATAATAAAAGGCTTACAACCACATCATGTTGCAACATTGGTTCCTGTACGATCTTCGAAGTTAAGTCATGTCGAGCCTGGTCACTATCTAGATGGGTAATAATCGCTTGGGGATACCAGGTGCTCTAAACTTGGATGCGCCAATGGTGTAATGGATAATTACTCGGTATTGTTAATTGAAGAACCGGTTTTCAATTTCTGTTGGGGTTGTTATATTCATTTATGCACAAGTCGAGATTCCCAACCTCCCTAGTTTGTTTTGGCCCCCTTTTCTTCATTTTGACTGGGTCAGCTTTACATTTTACAATTTGCCCATTCACCACAAAAACTCATCCATCACCAATCAATCCTTCATACCCCATAATACTGCATCCTCTCAAGGGGGACCTACAAAACGTGCCTCATGCCATAAAAATTTAATGATAATAAATACTTAAAATTCTATGATGAAAAAAATGAGAGGAGAGGGCGTGATCCTGTTTCCGCGGTCGATCCGCTCTGGAAGACGTATCACCTCTCTGACTTCAGCTTCGTCAAGTTGATGATCCGCCTACGTGGATGATCCGCCCTGGAAGTAGTATCACTACTCTGACTCGGCCCTGTTTAGGGACTTCGTCAAGTGCTACGCTTCGCGCGATAGTCGTATCACTACACTGACTCGGCCCTGTTTAGGGATTCGTCCTAACCGACCCGATGAATCTTCGTTCGTCATTAATCAACCAGCTGCTGTCACCGACAATTCTCACATCCGGCAGTCGACCAGCTACCGCCACCGATCAACTATACACTCATTTCGCCGATACAACCGAATCAACTTCCCCTGAAGGAAACCAGTCATATCGGACACGACATTCAAACATATTTCTCCATCAGTACACTCTTGTACATTTTGGATAAATAAAATCGACGTTTATTGTTTTTTAACCTCTGCCTTTGTCCCCTCATTGTCTTGGCTGTTCACACCTTTCTTCTGCGGGCGCGACATCCTTATCGGCCCCGCAACACACTATATTAATTATAATTTATAAACTTTCCCTTACACTAAGATCTCCCAAACTCTTTCCATTAATCCATTATATACTTTTATATTTTCAAGTTATTTTTAAACTCCTCTTTATTCAAAATTAATATTTCATTCTTCATATAACCCAAAATTAATGTCATAAGGTTAATATTCGGGCTTAATTTTATAAAATTACTTCCCTTTACGACAAATACCTTCCACCCTCCCCTGATCCCTATCTCATGCCTTTCGTCAGACTGAAACATTGAAATGGATAAATTCTGTATTAGTTTTTCGACAGTTTGATTTTTTTTTTTTTTAAGCTTTCACGGTTGAATTTCTGACATGAACTCAGTCCACACCAGGGTTGATAAGACATACGACCGATATCTTCATCTGCTGAAATAAGCTATTTGGGATTTTATTGTTATATATATATATATATATATATATATATATATTATATATATATATATTAATAAAGAGAATACCTGATATTGTTGGTTAGTGAGCTAATCAACACTGTTGTTCACTATTGTTGCTTTGCATCAGACTTTAAGCTACTCTAAACAGGGGCTATACTGGCAGACCACTGTCGGTGCAGTGAGTTCCATCCTCACCTAGTGGCCTATGAATTCAGCTTTGCACCAAAGTTATCTTCATTTGTAAGAGTACCTGCCATACAATTATAGTGAAAGTGAATTCCATCCTCATTAGGAGTCCCATCAAATTAATGTAGCAATCTTGATAGTCATTGCAAGTGTGAAATTGATGGCACTGGATGCACCCCCCCACCACAATTCCAGCCTCATGCTGAAGCCTATAAAAATGGTAATGGCATAAATCAATGTTTATTGTTTATTCATGACTTACTAAATTAATTCTGAACTAAAATAGAAGCAAATTTATTACAAAATTGGTATTATTTTCTTAAGTATGAACAAAAAAAATCTTTGGTTTTAAATTCTTACCAAGTTAATAAAAAAATTTGATTCCAGTATGAGTAACAAGTCAGTGTTAAATCAAATGTAACCATGTAGCGATAAGTTTAAAATTTAAAACACAATGAACCTCCATCCCTGCAGTCAAATAGAAGACAAATTATTTATGTGAAGCATTCATACCATTTGTGACTAATGCATCAGAAACTGAATTCAGTTGTCTAATTAACATTGAGGTAAAATTAAAAATACAAATAAAAACACAATATTGACAGTGAGGAATTTTTAGAATATATTCATCGGATACACTCAGATAACGTAAGTAGTTTCATTATTTTATATGAATTTATTTACTCATACTATCAAAAAATGACGGTACATTTAAACTTTTGAAAAAATATAAATACAATGCAATCAAAATATTTTAATCAATTTATCAGCAAACAAAAAATATTATAACTTAAATTAATTCAAGACAAATAAATGAGACAAGTTTAAAATAACACATTTCTATTCTAACTACATCACTAAAAGAATCTGCTTGATGTAGATTTGTGTAGATGAGCTGGTATTTTTAATTTCACTGATTACAACCTATTACAATGTATATCTTGTTTTCAGAAATTTCTTAAATTTATTCAAACAGCAATTTGTTGAAAATTCATTTTATACTTTATGAACTGTTTTCTGTTAACATCCATAAATTTTTAAACTTATTTTTAGCAGCTTTTCTTTGAATCTGCCATTCTTGTGTGGGTATTTATAAGTACAAATTAATGTGCATTTACAAGCCAAAGAAAAAACGTTTACAGCAGAATAATAGATTTAAAATATTAATTTTAGAAGAGAAAAAAATATTAAGAATCTTTCAAACCTAATGTCTGATTTTGACTCTGAAATTTAATTTGTGGTGCCATGCCTAGTCTTGAATATGGCACACACAAGAGTTAAGCCTATATGAGTAAAGTACAACAAACCCCCTTTCTCCTTTTGCATTGTTTTCTTTTCACATCAAGAAATATTTTTCGACTCCTTGTATTACTTTGTCCAAACTAATTCTCTTGCTTTTCTTACAACTGTTCTGCAGCTGCAGACTTGGCCTGTTATGCTAAACAAGTATATGGCTGTCATTACTGAGAAAAAAGAACTAGTGTTTTCTTCAAATCCATTTGAAAAGTGTGCTCCTGAGATGTTATGTATTTGACGTGGAACCTGCATGCTCCATCAGAACACTGTTCAACTTTTAAAAATAAATCAAACACTTGAAGGCATGAGCACACAGCAGCCAAAAATGTATAACAAATAATGAAGGTCAAAAGAAATATTTTGAATGAAGCATCAATAACACTGTTTAAGAAATTCAGAAACAATTTGACAATTTCTCTTTTACACTTCTTTACTCACCAGGTGGTCAAGGCATTGTTCTAGCTGGACAGAAATCGATCTGGTTAACTGTGGTTGGAAAATGTAGAAAGAACCAATTGAAAAACAATCCATGAAAAAATGAGGCAAGTAGAAGAGATGAAGAGAGTCAACCCCCCCCCAAAAAAAAACAGAGCTCTGCATCCCTTGAACCCTCCTACCCTACCATACAGTAGCTGTCTCTTCATATTCAACATAGGACCAATATGTGCACATATTTTCTATTCTATAATGAGACACAAGAAAAAAAAAACCTATTTAAATGAAATTTCAGTTATTCATTAATAAATTAACTTCAAGAGGTCATCGTTTTAGAAAATTTTTTAAAAATTATTTTTAAGGACCAGTTTCAAACCTTCCTTATTTTGATATGTAGTGCATGCTTTTAAATTAGGGGCAAAAGGTGGGGTGGGAGATTTGCAAAACCTTATCTTCCTAAGATGTTATTTCAGAAAAATTTTTTAAACCTTTTCATTTTATAGAATAGATGGTTATCTTTCAAATAAAACCAAAATTTCATATACAATTTAACTTTTTTTAGTAAGTCCAAAGTTAAAGAACAAAACCAGACACAATGATAGGGTATGGGTCTGTTTTTCTTTATTATAAATACTAAATTTATTCATTTAATTTCATTTTCCTCCCTATCATTACATTTGTGAGTGTCACTTTGTAGTGTTTAATCTTTACTGTGGAAATAATAGTCTATTCTTTATAAAGACAGTTTTTATATTAAAGCTGATCATAATCAGCTAGTCAACATGAGCACAGAAAGATCTGTTAACTCATGGAGATCTATATATCTGGCAGTAAACTTCTACACCTGAATAAGAATTGATAGCAGTTCCTTCAAATTTAACATTTTAAGTCTTAAAATTAAACATATCTCAAAACCACTAGACAAAGACACATACAGGACTTTGTAAAGAGGTTAGATAGAATTTATACCTTACTTCCCCCTACTCTTTACAATGGGGAGGGGTGTCCAAAATTAGAAGGATTCAGCTTGAATGTATGTCACTTATGCCCTCAAGCAAGAGAAGGACTATAAGCAAAGATTTTGACTGTAGAAGCAACAACTGATACAGTTGAAGAAAAGGAAAGGATTATAAAGAAGACACAGAATTAGTTTGTGTGGTATGCCTGTGAATGCTTAAGGAAAAAAATTAAAAAAGTTGTTCAGAATGGAAAGAGTTAATGGTAAAAAGTGAAGATGTGACTAGAACTTCTCGTTAAGTAAACTCAATTCAGATAAGGTATTTATTTATACAGTAGAATAAATATTTGTATTTTATATCTATAAAGGAAGAGGGAGATAATGAATATGACTTATTTTCCCCGCTGAAGTCTTAAGATCAAATATTGAATTTTTTTTATTGTTGGTTTATTATTATAAAATCAAACCTGATTTCTTACCAGTCTACAAGATGTACCCTAGAAGCAGTATACTTTTCAAATGTACTGGTTTTGTGAATATTCTACAGCCAAGAAAGACTTGCAATAAATAGAATAAGCAAAACATTTGCATTGAAATATTGACAGACAAGTAAGAGAAGTAAAAGTTTGCAAAAATCTTAAAGCATTTTGACAGGTCTCTCTCTCTCTCAAATGCATCTGCCTTTAAAGAAGCAACACAATAGACAGATTTAAATTAAAATTTTCTAATTGGTAAGGGAAAACAAAAAACAAAAACAAATGAAGTAATTAAAATTCATTTATTTGTGAGAAGTCATATTTGTAATATGAATTTGTAATCATTGACTTCAGTAAAATGTTTGTGTGTGCGCGTGTGTATGTAAGTCACCGGAAGAGGTGCTACAAAAACAAGTTGATTAGAAAAAAAAAAAAAAAAATTCAAAAGTTTACAAATCTGTTTATAAATGAGATGAATAAAGTCCATGACAAGTATTGTTTGTTCCAGTCATAAATGGAAACACTCATCACATTCTTTCAGCCACACCAATTGCTCTCCTCCTCAATTTAAGCTAAGGAATGTGGGTGGGGAGATGACTTAAGCAAGCAACATTCATTCCTTAAGTTTGGAAAAAAGGAGGTGAGAGAGAGAAAAATTATTTGAACCTTCCAAGTAACTGGCATCAACTTAATTTTAAACTTAAATCTTACAACTTGCCTATAGCAATCACCAGCTTTTAAAACCCCATCTTAAAAAATTAAATTCCCACTTGGAGCATGAAGGTCATGGTGGGGGGTTCTGTACATACAGAGTAAGCTTATTCTTCTGTTACACAACTAATAGAACATGCAAAAAGAGAGTGCTGAAAAGTTAATGACCAAAATTTATTTTTGATTCCACTATTGGCTGTACCAAAATCAACAAAAAATGTCATATATATATATATATATATATATATATATATATATATATATATATATATATATATATATATATATAATATGGTATTGTTGGCATTTTACATTTCTGCAGAAACATTTATCTACTTTCTGCAAATAATAACTGACTCACCTTGAAATTTTTAATTTTTACTAGGGTTTTTAAGATCCATAAATAATTTGAAGTATAATTATTTTCAGTAAATTCATATCAGTAAGATGCTGTTGAGAACTTTTTCTCAAGTTGTCACAAATTAGGATAGATGAATCCCCCCCTCCAAATCAATTTTAGAAAATTGTCAGTAATGCCTTTGAAAAATAATGTCAATAGTCTGTTAAAAGGCCTAAAAATGATATTTAACCCAAGTAAATCAAATTTTGAAGTGTTGCCCAAATCAGTTTATTGGTCCTATCTTTGTTAATAGCTGCATTAATTTTAGACAGAAAAATATATTTCACCTTTGTAAGTAATCTGTATCATTACTTACAATTTCCTAATTCTCAAAAAATTGAAAATGTAAACAAAAAAAAAAAAAATTATTGCACCTGTGATTATGATTAGTCTTATTTGAATAGAACTGACCCTTTTTTAAAGTCCCATCCATTTTTGAATTATCACTATCTCTGCCTTGCTTTATTTTTTCAATGTACCTTTTTAGTTTTATTATGGCAAGATAAATATTTTTGTATTTTTTTTTTTTTAAAGAAATCTTAACCAAATCACAACTTATTTTCTGTGTGTATGTATATATATATATATATAATGATAAATAGGGAGAGGAGAACTGAAAATTCCCACGCCTGCAATATGGTCAAATTATGGAAAGTGAGTATAGCCAAAGAACTTTTCAGCACTCATGTGTATACAAACATGAAAAGATTACATTAGATGAACCACTTCTGCTTAGGATCAGTATCTGTGAAAGTTGTGTGCACATGTAGATATATATCCACATATATAAAAAAAAGTATGCATGATATATTTAAAAAGAGGCTAAACAGAAATTCCAATCCATACACAAATTTTATTATTTTTGATGGGTATTTTGTTAGCATAGGTATAAAACCATTTGTGTAGTATTTTCTACTAGCTGTTCAACATATCCAATCAACATTATTGCTTGACACAAGCAATAACTTGAATAAAAGGGAGAAGAACACTTCACATTTTTTTCACTTCATAAATCTCTTTATGGTTTAACTGAAAAACCCCTCTGAACAAATCAGGCATAGCAGAAACAAGTTTATAAGAATGAATACTAGAAACTCAAAATGGCATTCAGTTCCTTCTCTGTTAATTACTTAACATGTTTTATAATAATTGCAAGTAAAATATTTGCATTTGTCTTCCCCAATAGCATACTCTAGTGAAGGAGGGATACAGACACACACAAAGAAAATTGCATTATATCTTCTTTGTTGTTGACCTTGAACAGGTCAAGCAAATCATTAGAAGTTTTAAACAAAATAAGAATTATAAGAATTGGAGAGATGCATGTTAAAACAAGGAATTTCACCAGTCCTGAGCAAAGAATTTAATAAACCAAATTGAATGAGGGAAGAAAAAAAAAAACTGTAGAAACTACATGGAATTTTAAATATTTCCACAATAAAACTGATATATTTGATATGTTAAGACTACAAATGTCAATATTTTAAATATTTCACATCCTCCTTAGCTGCCAAATAATGCAGAAATGATCTCGAACAAGTTTATAAACAATATAGCACTTGCTAACCACTCAGAGGAAAAAAAAATTAACTACACATGGCAGTGATTGGAGAGAAAGACAAATGATTCTCTTTTTGGTAATATGTGCAATTTGAGTGACTCCGTATATACAGTAAAGATGACATGCACAAAAATACAGATTTATTACTATTTATAAGAGCAACTATATACACATTAAACACAAGACCTCTCCTATTATCTCAGTACAAAGCTAGCACAACTCTTATAGCACAAGAGCGGGGGTGGAGGGAGTAAGTAGTAATAGATTTAAGACATTTTCTAATAGAAATAAGAAGTGTTGACATAGAGTAAAAGAAAAAAGAAAAACCAAGAAATTTGTTTTGCTATGCCATTTTTACTGCTTACATTTTTTTAAATACACAGCACATTCGGAAATCTGCAGAGACATTCCGATAAAAAGAAAATCAGGAAGTAAAACTTCTAAACACTTCATAAAGGAGGTGGAAAAAAATGTTTTGTTTTTTATTATACAGATAATGTGAAACTACTTATTACTTTACAGCATTTGTTATTTTTCAATGATCAATGAGAAGGCAAGAAAAAAAAAAAAAACAAAAAAAAAAAAACGCTCATTTTTTTTGTGGGGGGTAAATTTTTATATATATATATATATATATATATATATATATGTGTGTGTGTGTGTATGTATGTATGTATGTGTGTGCTATACAGATGACACTGGGGAGTGAGAGGAGAAATGTGACCCATGACAAGAGTGATATTGTTTTGTTCAGTCCATATAACAATCAGAACAAAGATAATTTAGGGATGGGGGAGGGAAAAAAAAAATGCAAACAAACAAAAGCATGACATTTTCTCTGATCTTTTTCTCACCACATAATATCCTTTTATTTCTCAGCTTAACTTTTGCTTTTTGTAGTATTTAGGGAGTAAATGATAAAAAATGTTGGGTCACTCTCCTTTTTCTCCCACAGCGAAGAGGTTTTTAGGGGGGGGGGCAATTTTTTTAAAATTAGATATATATTTTATAAGATGTGATTCAATTCTGTTATTTGTATAGCTTATTTATTTTCTCAAATTTCCAGTTATAATAATAGTTTTCAAGCAAGTCACCTTGCTTTTGTGTTGCAAATATAAATTCATCCAAACTGGAAAGTGAAACCAGAGAAACCCTGGCCACCAGGAAAACCTCCAGTAGCTCCACGGAATGCACAGCCTTGGTTGCCAAAGAAAGTGGCAAATATTTGAGTGGGATCAATTTGATCTAAAGAAAAAAGAAACAAGAAAATTGATTAGGAGGAGCTTACCAAAAGAGAGGGATAATAAAGGAGAGAAAAGTACCTAAAAAAATATACAGTAATTGGAAATATACAGTTTATTCAAGAGATTTTTGGCAATATTTATTCAAATACAGAAGGAAATTAAAAGCTTGTATGAAAAGGTTGTACTTAAAAATGACTATATGTGAACAAAACCAATTTAAAACTCAAGCTTACAAGGCCAGTTTATTTTGAACTGTGCTTTTTGATGTAATAGAAAATTGTCATTTTATAAGAGAGACTTTTTTTTTTATCCATTAGACACTTAAGTACAAATTGAAGAAATTATAGGCATGAATCATCAAGTTTTGCAGACTCACCAAAGGCAATATCATTATCATCCATATCAAAGCCATTGTCATATCTTGCTCGCTTCTTAACATCTGAAAGTACATTGAAGGCCTCACCAACTTCTTTAAATTTAGCCTCTTCACTCTTCTGAACTTCGGGAGGATCATGTGAATGGCGATCTGTGAGAAAAGAAGAAAAAATACAATTGTTATTGATAGACATGAAAAAGCCAAAATGCACATTGCAATTACACATTGGAAGACAAAAGAAAATTCTTAAAAATTACTTAACCAGTCTCATTTTATAATGGAAATTTCATTCAATAAATATTTAGCAAATTAATGCTTCAACAAATTAAAGCTATATGCATCAAACAACATCAAATTAAAGTTATATGTATCTATCAAGAACTTAATTAACTAATATTAAAATATTAATTAGATTAACATCAAAGAATCTTACAAGAAATTAATTTTGTCACAGAGAATGAAGCTTTGTAAGATTGAATTGCATGGTGACAATTATCTATTTCTTAACAGGCACCAAATAAAAATAAAGATTGCAACATCCATTTTCCATTTTAGACTTCTTACTGGGAAAATTGACCTTATAACATAGTAATCTATACTCAATTGAAAGCTTACCTGGATGATGAACCAAAGCACGTTTCTTATAAGCTTTTTTAATCTCTTCTTCTGATGCAGACTTGTTGACTCCCAAAATTTTGTAGTAGTCTTTTCTCTTACTTTTCTTCAGCATTCGCTTCGCTTCTAGTAATATCTGTTTATTTTCTGTGGTGACAAAAAAAATTAAAAAAAATAAATAAATATTTAGGCCTTTGTTACTATCATAATGTCGGGTTAATGAAGAAAAAAAAGAGTGAAGAAAGAAAGTAAAGATCTAAAAATGTAGAGTGTTACCTTTGCTTTTATCTAATTTGTAAACTTGCTCATAGTCTCTGACAGCTTCTTCATATTTTTCCAAGTCTGTGTAGCTATAAGAAAGTTTAGAAAAGTTACTATTTGCAGTTAAGAAAAAAGAGAAAAATAAAAGTTAAAAGTTAATTGAAATTGTGCTAATATCATTTCAAAAGAATTAAATGATTTTGTTCTAACAACCAATATGAATTATATGAGAGGTTCCTACTGGAATAGGATAACTGCAAATAGTTGTTACTTCATTTATATAAATAAACAAAATTGTTAAGCAAGTACTACACTGGGGTGTTGCATTACACATGTAATACCCAAAGTTGTTATTTTCGATTCTGATACAAGATTTCTCATTGCATATTGAACAAACTAAAATTGTATAAAATGCTGATTTCCCAGAGTGCCGAAGGAATAAACAAGAAAATGTGTTTATACTGATACTTACCATTTTGCTCGTCTGAGATATGCCTTTATATAAGAGTCATCTAACTCAATAGCTTTTGTACAATCGCAAACAGATTCTTCTAATTTGTTAAGCTAGAAAATAATACAAAATTATTTTAATTTCAAGAAATTTTGAAAGACTAAAATTCAAACTAAAATTAGGATTTTTAATTCTTAGATCATAGTTTTTAGCAAAATGCCCGGTGAATATAGGAAATTGATAATTTACATATTTGTAAAACAAAACAACTTTGAAAGACTAACCTTTGAACAAACAGTTGCTCGATTAAAGTATAATTTAGAGTTTGTGTACTTATTATGGGGATCAATGAGTAATGCGTCTGAATAAAGTTTATATGCTTCTTCTAAATTCCCAAATCGGAATGCTTGATTCCCCTCCTCCTTTTTACTCAGCATGGATTTTGCTCGCTGAAAGAAAAATATAAAATTAATTATAGTGAAGAAATATTTACAAAGCAATGTCCTGGAGATATACATCTCCAAATGTATACAGTATCTTAATTGTTGCTGTTTAATATCACTTTCTTCACAACTACAAAATGTCCATGTTCTTAAAAAAAAAGTATATATAAAATAAAAAATCTTTACATGTTAAAACTTTCCAGTATTGTTCAGTCAGTTGCATGCACATGCAAACATTTCTAAAGAATTAATGAATTCATTTCTAATCTAACATTTTTATTACTTCAAACATTTTTAGGGGATACCTCGTGTTTGAATAGACGCTCCCCCCTCCCCCGAACTTTGTACTGTCTACCAGCTGTGCACTAGCAAAAACTTTAAAATTTATTCTTAGAATATGCACAAATTATCAACTTCAGAGTGAATATATATATATATATATATATTATATACACACACACTTAAAACTTTCAAATTCCTATAATAGTACATTTTCAATTAAACTGTAGTACTTAAAAAGCATCAACCCACTTTTGTGATCTTAAATTATAATTATGATTTGGAAGAAGACATACAGAAACTTCTTACAAACGCAGCTTGTATCGTGATTACAGGGAATTCCCTTTAGTATGTATTCTTCTGTCTTCCTCTCTCTGAAACAAAGCACTAATGCTCTTAGTAAACATCTATTCTTATAGGATAAAGGGTTAACATAAGTACGAGATTATTAAAAAAAAAAAAATAGCAGGATGAAAAAGACGCCAAATTTGATGAAAACAAAATTTTATCATCTAAATGTTTGTTATTATCAAAATGAAAGATCAAAGTATTTTTGGGGTACTTTTTTACATTTTTTAACTGTTCCTAGCATGTCCGAAATTTTCGTTAAAACCTTTTTTTTTTTTTTTTTGAGTCAGCAAAATTGACCATTTTTTCCATTTTATAAAAAAACTGAAAATCTCACTTTGAAATTCTTTTAAATATCAATATTTTTTCAAAACCTATTTTAAGAAAATCAGAAATTATAATGTTTAGTTAAAGTATTTTGAATCAAGCTTAACTTAGCTTCTGCTCTGAAAAGATGTAATTTGAAAAAACAAAGCAGGTCATAAATTTTCACGTTACTTAACAGGTGATGAATGACATATTGACGGATTCCGTGAGGATAATTTGTTCTACTGAAGGAGAAAAGTGAAATAATTTACATTTAAGTGAACAAATTATTTACCTCGTCATTTTTAAGGAAAACTTTCAGCGCTCTAATTTTTTTTTTTTTTTTTTACTTAGCTTTCACCTTTACGTTTAGGATGCTTTATGGAAAATATGTTATAAAGAAATTAAAATAAATAAGATTTAAGAGTGAGATTAAATTTCATATTTTATAAGAAAGGTATCTAATTAATTTATAGGTATCTTTCTTATGAAATTTTATCAGAAGTGTACATAAAATACTATAATTTTATGTACCTTTATTACATTATACTGGGTTATTTGTATTTCCATTCATTTTATTATTAATTTTGATATTTCATTTATGGAAAAATGTCACAACTGCGATTAATATAAAAATATCATATAAATTTCATAAGATGATACTGATACTTGTAGGTACCCTTTTCAGTTGAAATTGAAAAATCAAATTACCTTCTCCACACGTGTTTCGCTAAAGTAAAGGCCTTAACGGCGGAGAACAACGCTTAACTCAAATAACGCAACTTAATTGTATTCTGGTTGGTCTTCCATACTTTATAATTACAGCCCGATTATAACCACAAAATTATATTTCTTAATCACTGCGGATCTTCTGATGAGTCAAAATGATACAATTTACAACGCGCTTAAAAAAAAAAAAAAAAAAAAAAAAAAATATCTCATAAGGACACTTAGAAAAAAGGAAAAATTTTTTAAAATAATTAGAAAAAAAAAAAATTTGGTCTTTCCTCTTAATAATAACAAGCATTCAGACGATAAAATTTTGTTTTTGGCAAGGTTGGCATCTTTTTCATCAAGCTATGCTCTTTTTTTTTAGCGATTTCGTGGAGGTACCTAAGTTAACAGTATATTCTTATAAACGATCAATCTACATTAAAAGATCTGTCTGAAAGAAAAACCTTGGTCAATAAATGGTAAATAATAGATACTTACTTTGTATACTTCTTTAGATTTGTGATGATCTGGTACCAACTTCAAGACCTGCTGGAAATGTTGGAATGCTTTCTCAATGCTATCTTGGTAATACAGACACATGCCACGCACAAACAAAGCGTCAGCATTCATATTATCCCGTTGTAAGACATCACTAAAAGAAAGTGATATTAAAAATCTAATATTAAATTTATTGTGAATATTGAAATTTCTGGTTATATATATGCATTATAAAGAATTTAAGCCAGGTATAAGGAAATGCAGAATTGCTTTGAAGTATAATATATAAATGCTGAAAAATCCTTGTCTATTAAGGTTTTTTTTTTTTTTTGTCAGGGAAGAAGTTTCAACACCCCCTCATTATATAAAATAAAAAAACATTGCAGAGGATATTTAGATTAACAAGATTAAAGATTTCATGAAGTACCAATTTTAACTTACTTTGCTAACTCCTGTGATTCCTGAAGTCTACCAAGAAGACAAAGAGCCTCAGCTTTTTTTATTTTGAATTTTAGACAACTTGAAGATAAATCCAAGCATCTGTCAATACAATAGACTGCCTACAATAATGAAAAAAAATTGTTAAAGTCAAATACCATGAATCAGTTTTAGAATCTAAGCCATAATATAGTGTGTGTGTGTGAATGTGAGAGAGAGTTACACACACACACACACACACACACACACATAAGAGCAGCAAATAGTTTCCAATTCATATCTTATCCTCTAGACAGAAACATGCATCTTGGTTCAATAGTTTCAAATCTTAAATTGATTAGTAATGAAAAAGAAATTGTATCAACTTAGTAAAATTCAAACCATAAAATTAATTTTAAGATTTGTGACCTAATTCCCAAGCTGGATGAAAAAAAAAAAAAAAAAAAAAAAAATTAAATGCTATACTAAGTGATTAAAATCTTAATTTTGTTAGATAGAAAACACTATACACATCAAAAAAATAAATCTGTAGTACAAGGACTCACCATATGAAATGGGCAGATATTTTTTATATATTCTCATCCTTTTAGGAGAAACAAGATTTTTTATTTTATTTTTATTTAGTGAACAGGAATTCTAACATTGGATCTGGCTGAAGAACCACAAGCATTGGAGCAAGTTCTGAATACATCGCCTGGAATTCCAAATGACAATAGCATCAAGTCAGTCATAACAAATGGCTATACTTTAAATATTCAGTTTTGTATTTTGAAATGACTTTCTTGTGACTATCTGCCTGACATTTGGAGGTTAGTTTATTTCTAGCTTAGTTTGTAAGATAGAGGAAAGAATTTGCAAGCTTGTCAATATTTAATAGATAACATCAGAAAAAAAAAAATCAAGCTTTCCCATTCTCTATATAAAATTAAAGGAGCAAAAAAAAAAAAAATTCAGGAAAGCACCAAATAAAGATCAGGATGATAAAAAATTCCTCTCATAAAAAAGGAAAAAAAAGTCTTACCCTCCTGTAATCTTGTTTAATAAAATCACCTTCTGCCATATTTTCAAATTCTTGCATCTGCTGGGCAAGTTTTATCTGGAGAAATGAATATAAAAGTTTAAAATAATTGTTAAGATTTCTAAAAATTTTGTAGTTTACGAGAAAATCTTGTAAATCAACATTCATGCAAATGCTATGACTAATAACTACCATGCCTCTACTTACAATCACTTCTGAAAAAAAAAAAAAAAAAAAAAAAAAAAGAAAAAGTTTAATATAAGGTATTGGCTGCCAATCCTTTTAGTCAGTCATTTGACTTAGCTAATGCAATGCTGCTTGCACCTGTTGCTATGATGACAAAGCAATTGTCTACCAAATTTGGCAAGTACAATTTCCTAAGATATCTTATTAATTTAAAACCAGAATCTGCCCAAGAATTGCTGTTTAAGTAGAGAGTAGTCTATTTGCACAACAAAAGAAATGTTTTTAATATCACATTTCACTAACAAGGTTTTGAAATTTTTGGAAATTCCTAAAGACAATTTGTTTTGAGTGTCTATATTTCTGAGATGAGGTATTATGTACAGTATTTACATTAGTCGGACTATTGTCCTCATCTTTGTCGCCATATTTGTCACGTTTCGGCTGTTGTACGCTCCGGCCTTCTTCAGGTGGTTGGAATTTCGAACTGAACCCTTTATTTCGATCACTGGGGTAGACTGTTCTAGTTCCACATGCCATGTTTGATGGATGTCAGTTATACGTTATCTCCGGCTAATTTTCCCTCTGAAAGTTAGCCACTGCCTTAACCGGGTATTGAAATCACACTCTTTGGGTCTGTCACTGGATCTAACCAACGCCTTTATCCACATGTGTCCTTGAGGACATCTGGGTATGAATTTCTGGGTATTATAAACCTAATGTTTTCAGCAACCATTTTTTACCAGTACTCATATTGCAACTTTGTTATCATTGCTTTTCTCTGTCACTCCTTATTACTGGTTCCCATATTGTATTTATTTCTATGCTTGGTCGGCTCAGGAGATTTTTGTGGCCTAGCATATGTGCCGATTCCTTAAGTTTACAAATTTTCCAATGGTGTTCCCTGTCTATCTCAACATGATCCCACAGGGGACGGTGATCTCCCTTCTCTCTCCATATGTGGTCAGCCACACCTGATTTTTCTACTTCCCCTCGCGTTACAGCTTTCTGGTGTTCTTGAAGCCTTACCTCGAGGGGAGCGGCCTGTCTCTCCTTTATATTCCTTTCCACAGCTGCATGGGATAGCGTACACAGTCTTTAGTCATGTTCTCCTCTATGGGGGGGTCTCACTCGAGAGAGATATCAGCGAAGTGTTGTCACACTTTTGAAGGTTGTCCTGATGTTATATGGACCGCAGGTACTCTATATTTTCTCTGATAACCCCTTCACATAAGGCAGGCAGACTGTTTTCTGATAACCGACATCCAGCAAACATGGCACGTGGAACTAGAACAGTCTACCCCAGTGATTGAAATAAAGGGTTCAGTTCGAAATTCCAAGCACCTGAAGAAGGCCGGAGCGTACAACAGCCAAAACGTTGTGACAAATATGGCGACAAAGATGAGGACAATAGTCCAACTAATGTAAATACTGTACAATTTGTTTTTTAAATTCAGAATATGGAAATTGGCCAATAAAAAAATTGGTTATTAAGTTTAATAGTCACTAGCTTTAAAGAGAATAATAAACATGCAAAATTAGACGAACATCTGTAATAACTAATTTATGAACATAAAAATATGAAAAAATACATTTCCTTCAGGTAAAATGTGCCATGTTGTGACTATGAAAAATTTCAAGTATTTCAAACCTCACATATAATTATACAAGCATAGGTCAATGATTAGTTGTCATAGCTTAAGTACTTATTGCAACAAGATACGGATCTAGCTTAAAATGGATGTAATTGTAAGATTATAAAGTCTGCAATAAAGAAACATTAACAAAAAACATTTTAATTGGAGCAAAAATAACAATTGTTACACATAATTTGATGAAAATTATCCTTAAATAAAATAAAAATACCTTACCTCTTTTAATGCAATTAAATTAGAAGGTTCCAGCTGCAAAACAGTTTCATAACTGCGGATGGCTGCACTGGACTCACCAAGCATAAGATGACATTTGGCTTCTCTTAAGTGTCCCTAAATCATAAATACAAATTAAACAAATGCTTATCAAGTAAAATCAGTATTAATGATAACTGATAAATTACAAATTGACTGAAAGAAAATAATAAAGTTTAAAGATCAAACAAAATTTAAAGAGTACAATCAAAAGAAAAGATACATGAACATTTAGATAAAGAGAGAATATATATAACACACACACCTCTAAAATATTCACTATAGTGACAGTTATATTGTAACAGTTCTTGACAAAAGCTCACAAACCTTGACAAAAGTATCATCTAAAGAGACTGCAATTCTTGCATCTGCAAGGGCTTCTGAATACTTGGACATCATGATATATGTAGCAGAACGGTTACCATAATATGGAGCATGGGTTGGGCACATCCCTGAAAAAAAAAAAAAAAAAAAACACTTTTACAGATATCAATGCACAAATTATCAACTTCAGGGAAAATTTATTATATATATTAAAAAGAGAAACTACAATCGTTTTTGGCTGTAATGTGGATTTTTTTTTTTTTTTAAATATATATTATGCTTTATTTTCCATAATTTTGCAATACACGTTTCGGGTCTTGCAACCTTCAGACAGAGCGGATATTTCCACATATTAAAATGAATTAATTTTCCTTCTGTTTTTCAATGTTAAACATTCCCTTTTTGTGTGTGATAGAGACACAAATGTCTTTCAGTGAGAAAGTTCTTCTGCTGGAAGGGTAATAAAACAATTAAGATTGGTCTGAGAAAAGATGGAGGGAGGATATCTGTTTTCAATTCCAGTGGTCTTTAACGCATGTCTATAAATTTTTATTACCTTGCTTGCTTAAAACCAAATATTGACTCCTTACGCACCAGTTAACAGACTTCCACAATGACAGACATTTCAAGAAACAACACTCAAAAGTCGCAAAGTATATGAAGTGTTTATTTTTACTATTTACATTGTTCAAACTATCATCCTCATCTTTGTTGCCATATTTATCAAAGTTTCAGCCGTTATATGCTCCAGCCTTCTTCAGGTGGTTGGAATGTCAAACTGAACCCTTTATTTAGCTTGCTAGGGTAAACTGTTCTAGTTCCACGTGCCATGTCTAATGTATGTCAGTTATCAGTCATCTCCTGTTAATTGCCCTCTTCAAGTTCTCCACCACCTTAACCAGGTATTGAACTCACACTCTTTGGGTCCTGTCACTTGATAACGCCTTTATCCATGCCATGTGTCCTTGAGGATATCGGTGTATGAATTTCTGGGTATTATAAACCTAACGTCTTCAGCAACTGATTTTACCAGTGCTCATATTGCAATTTTTGCTGTTATCATTGCATGTTTTTTACCAGAGCTCATATTGCAATTTTTGTTGTTGTTATTGCTTTTCTCTGGCACTCATTATTATTGGTTCCCATATTGGGGGGCTGTAAAAGGCCTCATGCACAGCAGCAGTTGAAGAGGCATTTCTCCTCAGCTGTCGAGTCCTATGATCATCATTTTCAGTCTTGTGTGCAGAAGCATTCAGGTATGCTCTTCTGGAAAGCTGATGGCTATGTTGATCTTCGGACTCAGTGACTCTTGATTAAAGCATTCTGAGAGGCATTTTGAGACAGGCAAACTGAACATTCTAAAGATGATTCATTATCTCTTATTCTAATAGTGGACCTGGCAACAGCAGTTTTGCGACCTAAGCAAGATTTTTTCTTTGGTGGCATGTCTTAGGCAAGTATGATTTGTCAAATGGAATGTGTGGGCAAATACCAGAAGAGAATGCTGTAAAGCTACAGGGATCACAAAGTCACTAAAAACTTTAGGAAAGTTTTGAAAAATAAATGTTGAATAATAAAAAAGCAAGCTTACTTATTACTACAGTGAATGCAATGCAAAAACTGGCAGGACAATAAAAATAAATTTAAATTGGGAACGGCTATAAACGACAATGAAAGCAACATCTTAAAACTGTAGTAGTAGGCTTTATGCAATGGAAATTTGGACTCAAAACCAGCACTAAGAATTATCAATCAAACAAAAAAATTTCATCAAAATCAGATGAAAACTGGAAATGCATAAACATCTGATCATACACATTTTGAGAATTATATATCAGTACTTATCAGTGTGTAGTGTATAGCAGCTCGGATTGAGCAATCAGAGAGCCAAGTTCGAATTCCAGTCAAATCCATTACATTCACTTATGTGCTAATACCCTTGGGTAAAGGTATTAATCCTCTTCCACATCCAGCTATGGATAAATAGCAGGACAGTGACTTTTATAGCCTTGGATGGCAACTGCTCTAGGAGAAGGACAACTCCGAATTCAAAACTTGTGGAGGGTTGTTTAGGGACCTTGTGGTACGTAGTGCACCAGGTCTCTATATTTGGCTCTTCAAAAAGTGTGGTTGGTTCTGCACAAAGCCTTCACCACTATAATCAAATTATATGTGCTGGTGCCTGGTTGTCGGTTCCTATGAACTGAGCTGCTTGACTCTCACATGTTGAATACAATGGGAGAGTCCACCACCACCACATATGTATGTGCAGTACTTATTGGAAAGTGCTCAATATCAGTATTAGAGCTAACAATATTCAGTTGTACGGATATGAGTTTGTGACCCAGAGATTCATGCTTTTTGTGATTATCAAACTTTATTTTTTGAAAATTGAATCTATACTTGTGTGTGTGTGTGTGTGTGTGTGTGAGAGAGAGAAGGGGGGATTCTCCTGTGTTTCCATTTTGGGAGGACACACACAGGTCTACATATTATGGTTGATATTATAATTAGTAATAATAGTTATTGATGTGTTAATGGTAAATTTATCCCCTAATGTTGATGGAAATGAAAGTATAATGGTAAAAAATACGACAATAATGACAATGGCAATTATGATTATTGAAGTGTTGGTGGTTTATCCCCTCTGATGGCTGTACCAACTGTCATGGTAATGGCTGTGTCCATAGAGGTGATAGTGTAGGGGTGATGGCAGTGTAAATAACAGAGCTGGTAGCTCCATTGATCTGTGTTACTTGCTATCGTGATGGTTGTGGGTGTGGTGATAGTGTTGGTAACAGAGTAGGTAGGGTTAACAATAGGTGTTGATGGTTATGTTTTTGAGGGTTTGGTTTTCTAGCACCCTTCCGTTGTGATCAGATTTGTTGTAGGTATTATCCGTTTGGTATAAACTGTCATATTAGATATTTGTTTCAGTGTCTCCATTTCAAAATTATTTCTAATCTTTGGTTTAGTAATTCCATTTGTTGAGTATGGGAGATTATTGCCAATTTTTTGTATAGACATCTCTTTGATATATTATCGTAGACAGGTGAAGTTTTCATGATTTCCCGGCTTATTTTTTTGTTTTAGACTATGAGACTTTTTTTTTTTTTTAACAATGGAAAAATGCCACATAACAATGCACTAAAGTGGATATATGCAACAACTACAATACACACCACCACAACCAAAACGGAAAAACAGAAAAAAGAAACATAATTTGGTTTAACACATCATACAACAAAACCGTCAAAACAAACATCAGCAGGACATTCCTAAACTTAATAGATAAACACTTCCCTTAACAAACCCCTTAGCAAAAACATAAAAGTTAGCTACAGCTGCATTAAAAACATAACACAAAAAATAAAAAGCCACAACAAAAAAGTAATAACTTGCAATAGCACTTCAAAGACCCCCACCAATGCAACTGCAGAAATAAAGCCACATGCCCACTACAAGGAAATTGCCTGCAAACAAACAGTATATAAAACCAAGGTAAATGCAAACAACACTACCATGTACTACATTGCTTAAATGTTCCTTCTGTGGCACCAATGAAGTACATCCTTGACTATATCCCAGGGCCAAAGCCTATGTGTCCCAGGGATGTAGTTAAGGTAGGGACTGGGTTATATCTTGTTCATCCTCCCTTTGATCTAAGTGTATATGTATGTATGTGTATATGAGTTACATCAAGTTTAATTATTCCCATTTCTGCAGTTCTGTATTCTATCTAACCATGTCCAGTTTGTTAGTTATATCACAAACAACATTGCCCAAGATAGTCAATTCAATAATTCAAACTTTGATCAAGCCTGCAGACAAAGTTAGTTTCCTAAATCTGGCCCCCACTCTGAAGACAAAAATCACTTAGGCTAAAGTAATATTTCTTAATTTGATGGAACTATTCTTAGGCAGTATATTGCATCCTAACTGCTTATGGATGACTGCCCACTATTACTGGTGTGTTCCTATATTTATGGAGAATAGGGCTTCTTTTAAATATTGGGTTACAATACATATGTACTAGCAACAGGATCAGGGGGAAGTAGCTAAGTGGATTCACCCTCTTGTCACATACAGTAAGGGTCTGACAAATTTTCACCCCCTATAGAGAAATCAAGGAAGAATGGTGGATAGCATTAAAAGAAATAAAATTCCATTACAAATTTCAGTCAAGATCTAACTGATCATGTATTAGCTGGTTTATCCTAATTGTCATTTTTCTAGCAAGATTGCCAGATTCTAATAGTAGGTATCCCAAAATCATTAATAGAGGCATAGAGAACTTGAAGAAAAAAAAAAGGGGGGGGAGGTTACCAAATTTATTCTGGCAGCTCTATAAACAACAAAGTTATGACCATTTAAAGTTCATTGGTTTTTCATCTCTGCTACTGGACCAGAAACCAATTTGAACAGTGTATTACTGAAGATGCAGGATTCACACTGGTTAAAAAAAAATAATTATAAATGTAAAGTTATATAGGTAAAAGAAATAAAATACTATGTATCTCCAGAGATACCTAAGGTTTAAAATTAATTTAAAAAAATGTAAAATCTTTCTTGAAGTTTGTACTTTAGTTTTAATTTCAAACTGATAATTAAATTTAATATTGCCAATAAGCAAAATACTATGCTGTATTTCAAAACTAATTTAAATTGATTGGAAAGAGTTTATTTTGAAATTTCTAAAATTTTTAATTTTCTGTCATTTTTAACAAACTGTTATAAAAATATAAATCTCTTTATTAAAAAAGATCCCAAAGACAATTCCAGATGCTAATTCAACTTCTTGTAATTTAATGCTTTTTGTTTCCCTAACAGTTAGAAAAAACAGAACTGAGTACTTCTGATATACTAGTAAAAATTAAAATTACCTAGTTTGGTTATTCACATAACTTCAATTCCTGTTCCAACTGGCCACCAAATATAGATTGGCCAACTTGTAAAATCCATATCAGTAACTTTGTTACACAACCATTTATTTACCCTACATGATAAATTACAATTACAGCAATTCTCATTCCATCTGTTCACCAGGTATAATTTCACTTACTGGTAAAATCTACACCAGTAACTGTTACACAACATATAAATTTCAAAAACAACAATTTTAACATACTTTTTTTGATTTAAAAATCATTCAATGCACACTTATTTATTAGTAGAATAAAAATAAAATGTAAACAAACCAATTAAAAAGCCAGTATAAGTTTCAGTGATAAAATCAATGGTAATTATTTAAAGTTCAAAGTTTAGCTTTGATGTACTTCAGATTTTGAGATGATTCTTAGAGTCCAAGGTCACATTCTTTCCCTTGCATCACAGGTTTACTCATCTATTTTGAATTTCCATGTAATAATTTTCCTTCATTATATTTATGACCCACACAATTAGAATCATTTCCTTGTCAGTCAAGTGCTGACAATTTGTAAACACTGATGTAGACTATGTAAGAAAAAAAAAATTCATCAATAGGGCTTAAAATTTGATTCAATTTTACAAAATTTTTCCTAACATTAAAATAAGTGAAACTATAAAAACAAGATTACTTCATTTAAGGTGGTTTAAAAATTTAAAGAAAATTTATTTAAAAAATATGTTCTTTATGGTTAACTTACAAATTTGTAATACAAGAAATCATATCCAAACAAATTGAAAATGCATAATTTGAAATCCACCAGGAGGTACACTGTTTACTACCTTTTAAAGCATCAATTTTCAAATGTTATATTAGTTACAAAACTGAAATATTTATTAAGTTTATTCTTTAGTTAAAAAAATCCAATTCATATGTAGGTCTTATGTCAATTTTGCTTATAATCTAACACAAAATTGAAAATATTTTAACAAGTGAAATTATGTCTTATTTTAATAGTAACCACCATTGCTAAGTAAATCAAAATAATCAAAATTTCCACTCAAGTTTGCTAGAGTTCTAAGTAATTGAATATGAAAAGGATTGTTTACACTTGAACAGATGTTCCAGAAAATTTTCCACAAAAAGCAAAAAAAGAATTATTTCTAAAAATAAACAGCATCTACACAAGATTAGTGATTTTCTAATGGCTAATATTTCTACAGTACAAAACAAGCCTAAATATCCTCATCAAACAAAAAGAGTAGTGACAACAAATGAAGCATTCGTGACAGACAAGAAAGTAGCTAACAGTTTATTGCATAATTAGAAACAAGTATAGCTAAATAAAGTCTCACAAATCCAGAACATGCAATACATCCCTCTTAGAGAAAAGTGGGAGTGCAGGCTACTTTTAAAATTTAGCACTACTACACTTGCAAATACAGCTTAAAATCACTACTTGTAACCCAGCCTGAAACTCTGAAGACAAGATAATATGAAACATTTTAAAAATTTAAATCTCCTGTTGCATTGTTTCAGATTCGAGTTCAACATGAATTTTTCTATTTTTTTATCAAAAAGAAACTTATAAAAACTGAAAGAAAATAGTAATATTTTGAATTACAAATTGATAGCTTTAGCAGGAAGGTGTTTATATGTAAGTGGAGATCAAGTACAGTACATGTACAAATATTTCAAGGAAACCCAAAACATGGATTAGGCACAACTATGTGTTCAACTATTTTCCATGATATTCTTGTTATCTTACAGAAAATCCTTAATTAGTGTTATGGTCAAGAGCAATGCCTGCATTGCTTTCTCAGCATGTGACACACTCATTCGTAAAAAAACAGCAAGGACGTTTTGGTTACCTTATACAAACAAAAATTTGGAAATTAGGACCATTTCAAAGAAGAATCTATGCCCAATATCTATCTTTACCCATAAATTTATCTACTCAAATAATTGGTGATAAACTCAAAGACTTTGGAATTAAAATTGTCTTCACCATATTCACCATAATAGAAAAAAAAATTTCAAATGTACATGTGCATATAATGCCACGTATTAAAAATGCCAAAATAGTTAATTTTTTCATAACTCATCTAGAATTATTGAATCATGATTCAATTTGATTAATCACAAAGTAGACTTTTATAACATCTTTTTTATAGCTAAGATAATACTTAGGTATTAAAACAGATACTGATTAAAAATCTTAATAAAAAATTAAATTCTATACTTTCTTTAACACCTAAATCATGAATTATATTTTAATTCTAAGTATTTACTATTTTCTTTATTTCTTTTTTTTCACCATAACTTTTTATTTTCCTAATCACCAAATTTACATTTTAACTAACATATTTCCTATGTACAAATTCATTGATTTGTACATGTATAATTTTATTAACTATTATTTCAAATTTACCACAGCATTTTTAATTAGCAATTTTGCTATGCTAAAGATTTTTTTTTTCATTTTTCAAAATGCTCATTAAAAGTAAGATCTTAACAAAATAAAATTTTAAAAAACATAAAAATTATATTACCAGGCAATAAAAATGTGAAAAAATTCAGAAACATGTATCATTTAAATGCTTTAATTCTGTGAAATACAGCTTTAATCCAAAATAAAAAGATGCAAAACAATTTTCTTTCTATGTTTAGAAGTTTCACCGAGATGTCCATCTTCTCTAACATAGCCACTTTGAATACAATGAGGAGTTAACAACTGGCAAAAATTTAATTCTTGCTGCATTTAAATTAAAACACTGGACAGAGAAATAGCAAAGAAATTTAACATCTATTTTGCAATCACATAAAAGGAGAAATTATTACATTTTAATTTCTATTATCAAGAGTTTGAAATAATTTCAAATGCATTTTAGTATCTAATTCTAGCCTGGACTAAAAGCAGGGTTTTATTTTCAACATTATTTTCCAATAAACAAATACAAGAAAGTATTTTACTTTTTGATAACTTTATAGACTAAAAAAATAAAAGAATAACCAACAATTTAGCCTCTTTAATGAAGAGAATCTTTCTGCTTTTAAAAATAAACTTTCATGTTTATATGGAGACAAGACATTTCCTTAAAACCTTCAGAAATCTTAAACCAGAAAGTTAACGCCAAGCAATATGAAAATCTACAGTTTTCATATTCTTTTCCTCCCAGAATGCATGTACTGGAGAGAGAAAAAATATCAATATGCAAAATAAAATCCACCATTGCTCACAATATGACACCATGAATTATGTAGACTTTGAGAAAGTAAAAGATACTGTAAAATTTTTTTTTTCATTAATACTTGGTTAGAGTACAGTTGGTAGCAGTTATTTATTTTTCCTGGCAAATTCTTTTTCTTGGTAAAGAACAGAACAGGAATAACAGTTGGGAGGATATAAATTTGAAATTTTAAACATAGGTTGTTTTTATGAGCTATATATTTTTCTTAGGACACATGGCCCAAGATTACAAAGAAACTTTTTTTTGCTGGGAACTTTATTTTAGACCATCAGAGGATTGTTTTTATTGTCATCATTTCAAAATATCTTCAGGCATTTAGTTTTTACCTTGGGACAGAGATCTCCATTAATTTTGATATTTTAAACTACCCTTACACAAAAAAAGGGGGAACTGTAAAAACAATGCTAACAAGACTTTTCTGGGTAGGATTTCACAATTGGCTGGAGATGACATCTGAATGAGTGGTAATAATTCTTAGACTTAAACTAATGAAATTACAGAGCAGTATCAAAAGGCTGGTACTATGCTGGAAAGGCAGAAAGAATTTATTAAATTTGGAATATAAATGACCATATTTGTGGAGAGTAATGAGAAGCTATCACATAATTAATCTTGCCCCAGGAACCATCTACACCCTAACAATAAAACCAAAATTCTAATAGTGTCATTTTTCATTTGAGACCAGCATTGCCTCACTTCAGAGAGATCACCCTGAGCTCTTACAGAAGGAATACCAACTGTGATGAAATAGAAGAGGAAAATTTTCACTTTTTGGAATTTGTGACAAATTCCAATAAGTTCCAGAAGCTTAAGAAATTACTTCTTGAGAGAAGACCAAACACTGCAATACAAGGCCTTGCCACCATTCAGTTTTTCTTCACTACTACAGACTTTTCTTGTCTCAGTAGGAAAATCAGCCCAACATATTGTTACAAGTCACATTGTCTTTGATTAGGAAGATTTAATAAGACAGTTTAACATATTGTGAAAATAATTGCAACACTTTATATAGCCCCTCATGTCTGCATCAAAGATTTTATTTTTGTGGCATGAAATTCACCTGTCACTTCATCCACCACCATCTGAAGTCTTTCAGATCTTAAAATTGCACAGCATATGTAGAGAAGGCAATTGGTAGAAGGTAACAATGTCACACAATTTAAGTTTTTAATTAAATTGATTTAAATGGTCATTCAATAATATACCAATTTAAAATCTAATCAAAAGTTGATAAATATCTTTACATAATACAATTAAACATGGTATTCAACATTTGTCTAATTTATTAAAAGGTTCTTATAAAAGTAACACTAATGTATATATTGGGATGGTCAAAACATTCGTTCACTTAAGTAGAATTTTATTTAATAAACTGGACTAAATTTTTCACTTATTAAAATTTAACTTGAAAAAATAAAATTTAAGTTCTAGTTTCAGTAAAAAAATCTAATTCAAAATAATATATGGAGATTCTTTACAAGCAATATATTGCTCTATTAAAATAGAACAATATATAGTTTGTAGAGATTCAAACAATATCTAAACAGTTTTTAATTGATGATCAATTGTTTAACCCAAGCAAAACTTACGTATTGCATCTTCATAACAAAGCAGAGCATCTGGATAGGCAGCAGTCTTAAAAAATGAGTTGCCTTCTTCTTTTCTCTTCTCTGCAATTTCAGCAGTAGCTTCTTTCCTGTACAAAAAAAATAACATGAGAGAAATAGAAATTTTTTTAAAGAGTTATTAAAGCTCATAAAAGGAGGATAGAGTGGTGTAAACTAATGAGTTTGTGGTGAAAAGTAGAGTTAGACAATATACATGGTGTACCAAGTAATTAAAAACAAGTTATAGTATAAAGAAAAAAAAAAACAAGAAAAATTCAATATATTTTTTAAAGTTTGTAGATATATTTCAACTGGAAAAGCTCATTCAATAAAAACCCTCATCCTCAAAGTCAGCCTTTATGAATCCTTGAAAGCAACTGCATAACCCAGACTAGATTGTTCTCATTCATATTTGCCATCATGTCCACAATGGCAATATTCAACAAATCCTTGATTTTGTGGAGATGCTGGTTGGTCTACTTAACACTGCCACAGATGTACTAATAGTTCAAGAGATTCAGATCCAGACTACATTTAGACAGGATAGTGAAAATTTTCAGCCAGCTAATCCTGGGGCATGTGGAAAGAAGCAGAGTCCTGTTGGAACATGTACAGCTAATCCAATTTTACCCAAGGTTTAACCAGAGTACCCAGTTCCTTTGTGTAAATAGTAGAATTGATGCTGAAGCTCAGTGGGAAGATGGAAAGAAGTAAAAATGGCCTTCATTCTTTATGACTTCACACCCCTACAGCAACCACCATCATAAGCAATGTTAATTTTGTGCATTACTACAGCCCATCCATCATTCTTCCTGTTCACATTTTGTGGATACTGTATAACATTTAGTTTTCCATTTATGTGTTCTCAAATACTTGGTGCAATCCACAAATAGATATACATAAACTACCATTCTCAGAAATATGAAACTAAAATGTTACTAACTGGAATAAATCATTTCATATATGACAAAATTAAAACTAATTTGTCAATTTTTTGGCGGCTCAAGTCAACTGATTAAATCATGTTGTTTTTTTAAAGGTAAAAATGTAGTAGTCATTAAAACTGTAGATGATAGAAAAATATCTATGTAGATTAATTATTTTCTGAACCCTTTTAAAATCATATTTTAAATGTAAAATCATTTAACTTTGCATATTCTGACCTTTCTCTTCAAGGCTTGAAATCAATGCTAATTTAAAAAGAAATAAAATGTCTGGGTAGTATTTTTACAACATTCTAGTCACTGAATAGAAAACTGGTTTTAAGTTTATTACAAAGGAAATTAGTGGGGGAGGGAGAGTAAAGAACTGTAGGAATTATTTTGTAGTTTTCTTATGTACAGAAAAATCAAATGAAATATTAAAAATGCACAACTAATGTATTTAAATTTCAACATTTTCAAGAAAATAGTATTTTTAAATGATATTTAGCTTAATGGTAAATGGAAAAGTAAAGTTACAGAAGTTTTAAATATTTTAAGATTATCCAGAGTAAATTTGCATTAATAAATTAACATTAACCAACACACAAATATTTAAGATATTTTTTTGTGTACACATTGCCAATCCTATAGGAAATAACCTTTTAGTTATATGGTAGCTTATAAAGACAGTTGACATTTGTTAAGTACCAATGGCCAAAATTCAAAGAAAGTTGTGAAGGAAGTTGTCAACAGAAATATTCTCTATCCTTTTTTGTAATGACTATATCAAGTTGTCAGATAATTCAATTTTCTAGAATATTTAATACATTCTTTCAACATTAATTTTCAAGACTGAATAATAATGTGGATAAATCATTAATTTTTCTTGAAATAAAAATATGTCAATGATGAACATAATTTTCAATCAGTAAAAAAAGTTACATTCTAATATTTTTCCTGTTAAAGAAACAAAAAAAAATTAAGTAAAATTTAAAATTTAGTCAATGTTTCCTATGTCCATACCCTGTTTATATTTTGAATATTTCCAAAAATAAATCATTCACACACACATATATATATATATATATATATATATATATATATGAATGAATAAAGATAAAAAAAAGCAAATATCACTCAAATTTAGATGTACAAAGCAAAATTAACATCTTTATATTATGAACCTATCCCTAAATTTCTCATGATAAATATAGACATGATTTCATTATAATTTTAGTCTATAACAAAATATAATGCTGGAAATTTGCTTTAATTATATTGGCTTTGTAAGTTTTTGGCTGTTGAAAAATCATTAAAGATATAATGTTGCTGAATTAGAAAGGTAGACAAGCAGTTTTGGACTGATTTTGACAGACAAAAATTTTTAAAACTTAATACAAAAGACTTTTCCTAAGGGTTTAACAAGGTATTTTTCAAAGAGAAGATAAATCATACAATCAAGCCATTTCAATAATTGAAGTACATTTTATGCCTAGTAGATATAACTTTTTTCTTTCTTTTTTTTTTTTTTAAAGTTCAATTAAAGGGGGCTCTGACAATAGAAATATCCACCAATTACTAATACAGCTGAAACTAAACAGTAAACATAATTCAGAAAAGAGTGAAATTAGTTATAACAAAATACTAATAAGAATTTTATATGCACATTTACCTTCTGCACCAAACTTTTAATGTAAGAAGGCAATTTAATGAACATATTAAGATTTGTTCTTAAAGCCATCCCAATCAAAGTATACAAGAAAATTTAAAATCTTTTCCATTTTAAATTATCAGAACTTGTCAAACATGCAAAGCCATGTTAGAAAACTTTTGTATTTTACTTCAAATACATAAGTCACATAGTAAACAATAGGAAATAAAACAGTCAACTGTGCAAATCAATGGCCTTCCATTTTTGAGAAACCATCATATCTAACAATGAAACCAACCTCCATTAACATGAAATAAATCTTTATTACTTTGTGATTAATGATAAATTGTATAAAATTTAAAATGTGTTAGTATCTGTTTCTCAAATTTGGTGAGCCTGCAATGGGATTGACTTATATAATTAAAAATTTTTAATAAATCATTTCTTCTCCATTTAGTTCCTGAATGACACTGTTTCTCAAGTGCAGAAATTGTATTGCCCCGCCATAACAAGTGATAACTGCAGTAGCAATAAGAGTCAAAATAAATAGGTATGCTAAAAACTTGGTTCTTTGTTTTGCAGAAAAATGTTTGATAGTTTTTAATTTTATCTATTTTAATATTAATAATTTTTGCATTTTTAACAAAGTGCATACATTTATTTTAATTTCTTACACAAGTTTAACGTGTGGATTTTGCATTAGGTTAGCATTTTACTTAAAAAAAAAAAAAAGGTCTGAAGTTGTTTAAATTTTTTGATCATTTTAACATTGTTGGGTGGGGGGTCTCCCTGATCCAATTGTGAAATTACATCGTTAACTTAAATGGATCAGTCTCGGATAAGTTTTTAAACAAATGACAGCATCATACTGTTTGTTGTTTTTGGGGGTTTTATTTTTAGTGGAATATTCACTAGTCATTCAGAATAGACTCAGTTAACTTTCTTTTGTTGGATTCATCAGCATTGCTTACAAAAATCAATGGCAGTGAAGAACGAGAACACTAGAACAATCGAAATATACTTTTTTTTTCAAATAGATCTTTCTCGATTTTGTGCCAATAAAATAATTCGAGTTGCAAAAATAACAAAAATAAAAGGTCATACTCCTAAGAAAACCAAAATACATTTTGATTTTTAACTGAATGCACTTCTTTACCTAACATCGAAGAAAAACTCTCCCATAAAAAAAATCCTAATTCCTACAGGTCGCGAATATAACACTATTTTTTTTTTTAATTAAACCCGTTAAACCTAATGAGAGAAAGAGAAAAAGTCAATATACGTTGCATTAAAAAGTTTAGATTGGTTGGGACAGGACGTAAAATAAAAACTACATTCGCTCAATCTGTTGGAAAATGAGAAAATGTCGAATTTTTAAACTCGACCCACGCAATTATTGTTGCATTTTATTTTTTCACTACCATAGTAACCAATTTACAATTTCCTTACAATACATAACCTAAATCTACTACCGAGACTAAAGTATCCCTTTTTTTCTTTTTTTAATTAAAGAAAAATAAAGTTTTGTGAGCAAAATAATGTGCATCTTTAAAGTGGAAAGACGTTAAGACAAAATTACGAAGATTCAAGTACAAATAAATAACCAGTCTTTGTTGTATTCAGAAAAAAATAAATAGAAAACCTTTCAGAAATATTTCTATTTTTAAAGATTTAATTTTTTTTTTTTTTAGATTTCTATCTCATTACTTTGGATTTTGTTTTCATTAATTATAAAATTTGGGAAATATAAGTTCTTGAAAGCGGGTCATTTCAAAAACTGAATAAAGGTCAGATTCATTTATTTATCGATGCACTACGATTAGAATGATTAGGATTTGAATTTTATGGTCATAGTAAACACCATACAAACACTAAGTGACAGCATTAAATAATTATTATATACGTACATTTGTAAATTATTGCTTATAAAGCAAAGTTTTGGTTAAACATTTTTAAGGTGAAAGTTAATAAACAAGAACAAGGTGCTTTTCATATCAGAAAATTGAGAAAAAAATGATTGTTTCTTTCCACGAACGAAAGAAAGATAACGAAAGGATTTTATGTGAGGTTGATTTTTCCCCTAAAATATTTTCTCCCACGGATTGAAGGTGAAAAAGTAATTTTTTTTTTTAGCATTTTAAGAGAACATTCATTAATTCCACACCGCCACGAATTTGTTCGCATTTTAGCCGAGGTACATTTTTTTTCTAATTTAAAATGTTTCCAAAAAATAACTTGAAAGATAAAAAAAAAAGCTTTTTGAAAATAAATGATAACTTTGGAATTTTTAAGGTACGAAATGATACAGTTGTTTTAACTTACACAATCGAGAAAGTTAATATTTTCAGTTGAGAAGAAATATAGTAATTATTTTTTTTGTTTCCTTGATCGGAAAACGGACAATAAATCAGATTGCGGCTAATGAATATTCATGATTGTCATTTGCATACTCATTTCATTTACGAAAATTTTTAAGAAAAAAAGCGGAGACAACCCGAGACATACGCGTATTGAAAACTTTTTTTTTAATTATAAAATACTCCACTTTATAATTATCTTTACTTTACCATAAAGTAAAATTTCTTTATAGAAAAACCTGATAACCTTTTAAGAAAGAAAAAAAAATTAAAATTTTAAACTCACAATCAAACTATGTAGTTGTATGTAAATCGTAACAAAAAATAAATTTTAAAAATTTAGAGATCTAAATATTTCGGAAACTTTAATAATTAAAGAAAAGCGAGAACAGCGCCTTAAAAAGCAAGTATTTTTTTTTAAGTGTCAGCCACTGTTTGTAAAACATACAAATTATAATAACGTTAAAAAAAGATAACATCTCTACTATTACTAAGTTTTTATTTTTATATTTTAGTTTTTAATTTTTTATTATTATTAAAGTGGAATAAAAAACGGATCTTTTCTTTCTCTGCTCAATATCAGAGGTTCTTTCGTATAGCCAAACTGAATGATTAGGTGAACAATGAACATCAAAGAGAAAAAAAAACAATTACGATCTATGACTATGTAAATGATCATCTTGAATAATGATACCCGTGTTAGAAAACACAATTACATATATTAAAAGCGGGTTGAGAAGTAATTAAAAAAGGTGGTGGTTTGTGTGTATAACAAAAATGCCAAGTGTTCGTAAAGGCTAGAAATCGGAGGTGGCAAGCTTCTAGTAGCTTCCATGTGATTTCATCATCTCTCACTGCTACCATCACTAAGCAAGGCTGGTTCTTAAAGAAGAAGCACCATCTGACTGACAAAAAATAGTATAGTTATAAACATTTTGGTTGTATAATGGACCAAGACTGCTATTAACAAAGCCTCAACAGATTACTTGTCCTATCGAACAAAACGACTACAATGGATAAGATTTAAACAAATTTCGTGCATAACAGAAACAAGCAGTCAGTCAACACCAGCCATTAGCAATAGACTGAGTTTAGTTAGATTATTTTTACTTAATGGACGACGAACTACAGATTTATTTATTCATTTTTAATTTAAAATAGAATTTTTAAATCTTTTTTTCTTGCTTATTTAATTAAAACAAAGAATCTAATTTCATGATTTGAAAACTATTTAGCTGCAAAAAAAAAAAAAAAAAAAAATTAAGAAGATTAATAATAATTTACAAGAATTTCAAGAAAAAAAGGGAATGAATAAACGGTGTAGGTTTACGTGGGAATTTTTTTTTTTTTACATGTGGCAATAAATAGCACTTCACTTATTGATACTAGCATCAATAAAAAGAAAGAAATAATTTTTGGAAATAACTTGAAGCTATCTGTTCTTTAATATTAACCACACCCAGATGTTTAAATAATAAAAATAAATAAGGTAAGACATCTAGAATGAATTGTTGTTTAATTAAGAGAAAATAACCTAAGCTAAGAAATTAAATTGTATTAATTAGACTAAAAAAAAAAAAAAACTAACATATGCAACAGACATATTTTTCAAGTTGTCATTTAAAAATAAAAATGTTTGTTTTGCTTCTAATTTAAAAGAAAATAATTCCATAACTTCAGTAGGCATTGTCAAAAATTAGAAAAAGTTTGTTTTTTTTTAAATTGGTTTTAAAATTTTGATTTATAAAAAGAAGTAAATGAAGCAATCAGATTTAAGACAATTTATTAGTCTAAAAAACATTGACTTTTTTGTCCTTTTGGCTTTTTACAAGAATGAAAAAATGCAATTTAAAGCATCAAATGAAGACGCCAATTATTTTGTAAAAAAATGATTTCTTTAAAATATATTATTTTAGTTCTGGAAAAGTAATTATTGTTTTCTTTTACTTACTGATCGGCTGTCATCCTTAAAATTATTATACAGATAAGTACAGAAGTGGGTATAATTTGATAAGAGACTAGAATATATAACCTTCCAGCCTTGCGTCAAACCTGCTACTGACTACTACAATGATTATCTCCCTTTAATGACTCGCTTTTCTCTTCCTCCTTTCATCCCCCACTCGATGTATCAATAGTTCTTTTTCTTCACTCTGTTTAATCTTTCTTATTTTTTTTCCATTCATTCTCCCACTTTCTCTTATCGTCAACAAAACCACTCTCTTTAAATGAACTGTCTTTCTTTGTCTGTTGTTGTTACCATCCTTTCTTAATTACCTATCTATTTTATTTTTACCTCTACCAAGAAAATCATTACTATGTTTTCTTATTCAATCTAAGACAAACCTTAAGTTTTGTCTTGTCATAATTATTTTCATAATATCACTTCAGTTTTGCCTCCCCTCTAAATAACTTCTAGCATCTTCTATCACCCTCCTATTTTTCTCATACACTTTCAATATCACTGTTTCATTCACTGTTTTCTAATTTAAGATTTATGAACAATATTTTTTTCGCGTTCACAGTATCAGTTCATTTATTTTTACCTCTAATGCTGCATTTGTTTTCTTCATTCATTTACTCTTCCTTACATTGATTATTTTTTTTATTTTCTTATACTTTTGAAGACATTTTTTTTCTTTTATTCCAATAAAATAATTTTTTTTATTTATCTATTTTTTTAATAAAAATGAAAAAAGTCAAAAAATAGTATTTTAATATTCGTACAATTTTATGATGTTTTCCCTCGAACTTCTAGAAATACATTTGGATAACAAAATAAACAATATCTAAAATTTAAAAAAATGGTTAAGTAAGAATTTTTTAAAAATTAGAGACAGGAGAAAAATTTTTGATTCACTGATAAAAGTTCCTAAGTGTTTTTAAAAAAAATTTTTTTTTTAATTTTAGTTAACATTATTTTTTAAAAGTACAATTTTTTGTAGAATATTTTAAAATTAAAAATCTAACAGGCAACGTGAATCAATTTCTTTAATTAATTAATGTTTATTTAATTATTTTCTTGAGAAAAAACTGACAAAAAATCTTTTTAAAAAAATAAATTAAAATTAATTTAAAAATAAATTGCTGATTTTGCTATATAATTTTCAAAAAATGAAAAAAAAAAACGAAAAATTATTTTTCTTTTTCAATATCGTTTTGCTAAATTTGTTAAACTTATACCTTTATCAAATCCCCTAGTTTCTTTAATTCATAAATAAATGAACATTTGATGTACATTTTTCTAGAACTTAAAAGAAAAGAGACGATTCGGTTGCATAAGTTCCGGTCAGTGGGTTTTTTGCCCCCCGCCAAGTATAACGTAAGCACGATGTTGATTGGTGCAACAAAATCGATCAAGTAGACCAATCAGCATAGATATTGCATAAATTCTGATTCAAGTCAAAATGAGTAACAATCCATTCTTCATTTTCACATCTCATTGTAAAGTGCCACGTGCACATAACAAAATTAGGGATATTTGCTAAAAGATGAAATAAGCTTTTATTCACATCACTTTGTGAAAACTACACCTAGTATTCCAATATGCAATAGCTAAAAACCTTAAATTATCGTTTAAAACTTTACTACTGGATTTTCTCAGACCCCAGCATGTTACATGTCGCTCTAACTAAAACACACTTTTTGAATTGAAGTGGTCACTGGCCTTTTGTCTTTTTTAATTTTATCGTACATTTTCGGTGCCGTCAGCATGATTTGTTGAGGTAATTTATTTATTAAAAATTGCTTGAAAAATAATTTATCTTTATTTTTTTATCATACTTTTTTATTTTTTCACCTTCAGCTTCATATTTTCCATTTCCAGAGAATTTTTTTTTTACTTTCATACAAAAAACGCGACACATCTTTCAACTTTCACTCATTAATGAATTACTTTCTTTTAAATGTTTCTTATACTTTTGATGTCATTTTCCTTTTATTCCAATGAAGATAAATGGTTTTATTTCTTTAACATAAAAATTAAAAATTAATTAAAAAATAAAATTTTCAAAATCACATGTTATTTTGATCATTATTTCATTTGCCAGACAAATGTTATTGGTATGACCAGTGAGGAAATGTAAATGACTTCTTTTTTTAAATTAAGATTATTACTGGAGATCACACTGATGGAAATACTGGCCACAGCCATTCATATAATGATAACATTTCACCTCAGTACTTAAAAGTAAAACACATGCTTTTTTTATTATAAGTACGATTTAAAAAATAGATTTTAAAATTTTGTTATGTAGTGTTTTAAGGTCTAAAAATTATTATTTTTGTGGTGGGGAAAGGATTTATTAAACTTTTATGTACTTTTTCAACTATATTTTTAAACACAAAAACAAACAATTACTAACAATAATTTCCCCAACCAAGTTGTCACTGCACTGCGTAAATAAAATTGATTTAAAGAATTTTAAAAGAATAAATAACCATCTATTATAAATAACTATATAACACAACCATCTTGAAAGAAAATTATTAACTTCTACTGTTTTTTAAACTGTAACCAGGTGCACCCTAACTAAACAAGACGAAAAAATCATTAAAAATATAATAATTCACTAGTGCATATTATTATTACTTAATGATTTCAATAAACAACTTAGATTTTAAAAAATTAAAACGTCTAACTTCAATAGATTTCATTCATCTTTCTTGTTAAGATTGCAACTGTAATTTAGTTTATCTACAATAAAAATTGAAAAGACAGACCTTGTCAGTTGAATTTAGTGACTTAGTCCAACATAAAATGAACAGCTACTCATTTCCGAGCACACCCATATCTGCTAAGGTGGTTAGCCAATTTCTGTTGCAGATGTCTACACAAGTACATTGTGTTTGTTCAACATCCACAGTGCCCGTCTCTGCTTTATACTAAACTATGCTGAGTAGACTGTAGTTATAGTTTCTGGAATAAGAGAGCACATCATCTGGCATGATCAACAATTTGAACAAGACCAGTATGTTCACGCCCTCAGGCACAATGATTGTGACTTCATGCTATTACAACTATCGTCCACCTTGAGCAGTTTTGTGACTCACACGACTTGGTTCAACCCATGTTATAATTTACAGGCATTTTCCAAAGGTGTTGTATGCTAGAATTGGCTCTGATAACATCAAGAAATAACCTTCTTGACAAATTGACCATGCTTAGACTTGAACCCAGGTTACATGGTTGGAAAGTGAATGTTCTAACCACCAGCTACATGATCATCATATATATATATGTGTGTGTGTGTGAGAGAATTACAATTAATGAGATCCAAATGAATTACCTCATGCAGATGATCATTTCGTCCATGGGAAAGTAGTTTTTCCCTGAACTTATCAATGCAAATACACTTACTAAAGTGAATAAAACGTTTCTTCCCAGGAAATCTGAAAGATAAGGGAAGGAAAGAAGGAAAAAAAAAGGAAAGAATAAAAAGAGAGGGAATAAGAATTGGCCTATAACAGAGGAGGGACTTATATAGATAAAGAGGGTTAAGGGCACAGCTATTTAAAAGTCTTGTTTTTGTCATACAGGAAAATCCCACATGGCGTGTAAACGAAATATACGGCGAAAAATCTCATTCATCAGTAACATTTTAAACACCTCATAGAATGTAAAATTCTTAAAGCAAACCTATGCCAAACTGTTTTTCTGAATCCTTGATGACTTGGCTGTCTGAAAATGACAACATCAAGATGAAATAATGGAAACTGACCATGAAAAACAATTATGCACAGCAAACTTCTGGACCTTTTCGGGCGATGTTATAGGATCCAGATGGCTATTGTTTGCACATAGAATTATTCACTGGTAATTAATCTTCAATTTGGCTGTGGAAAATGTCACTCAGCGGTTAGCATTAAGAAATTATGCCCAATTTTCTGAAAAAAATCACTGTTTTTTTATGAAAAAATATTTATTTTCACTTCAAAATAATATCATTCAAACTTCATGCCTTTCTCTTTCATTTGGCGGGAACATCATTGAATAAAAGGTACGGCTAAATGGCCCAGCAATAGGAAATAGGAAAAATATGCGGTGAAAAAAACAATGTCGTCTGCTAAGTGTTGTTGTCATGACCCAGGTTACGGGGTGTTAAAAACAAAATAAAACACATCAAGCCATTGTTCAAACATAGGTTATATCAAGCCCTACTAATGTTGACCCCTTTTTTTTCACACTTTGCTCTTATCTGGGAGTGGTGGGTTTTATTACAACTTGTTCTAAACGTTTATTGCTGCCTGGCTAACCTTTGACCCAGAATAGTCAAAGTCAATTTGGTTTAATTTTCCTTATCGCTGCTATTTTTTGGAAAAAAAAACTTTTGGTTTCTGGTGGTCAGGAATTGCAGATAAATCTTTTGCCTTTTACTAAAGTTTTCCATGGCCAGATATCAATTTTTTTTAACCCCTGGCAGTCATATAATTATAAATTACCAATAGACTTTGTTGCATTTTGACCCCCTAGGAATGTTGATTTCCTTTAAAACTCTCAATTTTATACCTGAAATAGTTTGATTATGATTTAGGCTTTCTGATTTTCAAAAAAAAATGGTTAATTTCCCATTAATAGGGAAAATTTTTGTTTAGAACTAGAAAAAATGCAAAATTTTCACTATTTTTTTCACATTTTACCCACTGAAAAATTTTTTGGGGTCATTTGCACCAGCCAATTTTACTTTTAAATGAAAGAATATATCCTTTGCTTTCAGAAAATACCTAGTTTCATGGGGTTCAGATCAAAAGTTTCCTTGATATTTGTTTAGGTGATGATAAAACAGTCATTTTTCAATATTTTACCCCTATAAAAGTATGAAAATCCATTTTTTGAGAGAAAATAAGCTGTGACAATGACTTTTGCCATTTTTGTGATGATTTTTACTTGGGATAGAAAATTTTTTACCATAGTAAACCTGAATTGATTTTATTTAAGTTCAGTGGGGCTATAGGAAACCTCAAAC